TTGCTCTAAGCGAACTTAAATCTTTGAAAAATTTTTGTGTATAATATATATTACCAGTGACAAAAAGGAATCTTGCAAAATTTTGAATAGATAACTTTTATTATTATTACATAATAATCTATTTTCGACCTTCTAGATACGTGCTCCAGGCCCGCATCTAGATGCGGGATATAAGAAGAATAGTTATCTAATTATCACCACTGACCTAAACAGTGATTTTTATACAGTCTGATTGTTAGTTGTGAGGAATAAATATAGAATAAATATTATAGTTTTACTATGGAATACCATAGTATAATAGTTATTCTATTCTATAATAGTGATTGTTAGGTATAAATATCTATAATATTTATTCCTAACAACTATTAGTTTATATTTTGTTTCAAACTAGAATAATATACAATACAATAAGGTATCTTTAAATTAAGAAACTATTTCAAAAATATTTGTAGTAATTCGCTAACCTTTTAATAGTAGTTTAATTACCCCCAATATACTTACATAGATATATAGCATACTACATAGTATGATAGGTACAATTAATTAGTAAACTAAAGATATGTGTATAAATTCAACAAGGCTGCCTTTTTATTCTAAGTTTTATTTAGGAAATTTTAACATAATATGATAATGCCAGTCCAATCATATCTTATTACTAATCTTATCTTCTAACAAGGTGGCCTGCTGATGAAAGCAACATGTAGGCAACCTTAGGCTAACGGATACACTTACAATACTTACTTAATACCTATATAAAATTTGTGATCCCTCATTATAACATTAACATAGCCCATAAAGTTTATTAATTATATTTAATTAGCTGCCCATCCCGGCTTCGCACCGGTGTACATGTATTATATGTACATATAAACATTCCTCTTGAATCACTCTATCTATTAAAAAAAACCGCTTCAATTTCCGTTGCTTAGTTTTATAGATTTAAGCTTACATAAGAACAGACAGCGTCAGCGACTTTATTTTATACTATGTATCTAATGATATATAATGCAATATCATAGGGTCATTACGGTATGAATGAACCCGAACTCTGGTATTATACTCGTCATATTCGCAATCTTGTAAGTCACAAGCCTGACAATGTAATTTCACTAGTTAATGACTGAACAATAAAGCGAAATTACTAATAGTGTGGGCGCTTAGACTTATTTAAACGACTGATTTGTATACAATGATCATTGTTCGTCCGCAATTCTGCCCGAGTCTGAGGGCGCGAACGAACTCGGGTTAATCGATGACAAATATGCGAACATATTGAATGACTTTTGAAATATTATGCTTATTCTGCGAATATTTTTGCACATAATCGAGAGTTACTTTGTATATGAAATGTTCACTTAAATCTTAAATAATTAATTCGATGTTTTTATAATTTATTTCATTTATTTATATTCTTCCTTATTATATGCCATAGGGTGTGAAGATAGCACATGTTGCCACATATATACAAACATTTTATTCACAAGATTTGTTTCTAAATTTTCTCCATAACTACATGGTAAATAGTATTATTTGTAAAACAAATAATTTCATTTTATATTTATTATTATTATTATATTTTATTTATATTTTCAAGAAGAGTAGGTGATATTCGAATTACATGACCATATTTCTAGTTTGAATAATTACATATATACTCGACCGAGACACAAACATATGATTTTATTAAACTTTAATACCCTTGTACTAAATATGTAACTACGTATTCGGATTATATATTAATTAATTTAAATTAAATAGTGTATATATAACTAATGTTTTTGTGGAGAAAATAAATATATTATTAATTTAATATAATGCACTTTTATAAAAGTCAACAAATTAATATTTTCATGCGATAATTTCGACTGAATTTTATTATAATATTGTCCCACTTCCACCAGCATATTATATATTTTTCCACCAGGGTTTTGTTACAATTGATAATTAGTTTTATTTTTTGTGGAACTTGTAGTACGTGTCGAGAGATCTATTTCAACCCTGTTATCTAATATTATTTAAAGGTTAACTGCGTAGCGGAACACAGTCAACTTATCGTACTGACTAGGCGACTACATGATTGTTTTTCTTATCTCATAATTTACGATCTGTTGACACATGATGTGAGTTTTGAAACTTTCACGAAGTAATTAAATTGTTGTCATTGTGACGGAGAATAGAGGGACGCCGACGATGGCATGCGTCGTAGAGTATCTATAAAAGGAAGTATTAAGTAAGCAAGAGTATATGGTGTATCTCACGAAGGTCGTGCAACAATTAACACTAAAACTTTCTCGAAACAATTCTTTAAATGATTTCACTATCAACAGTGATAAAATCGGTTGCTTAGAAGAAAACTTCAGAGGTCCAAACCGACCAAAATATATAGTCTGTATTCTTTTGGTCTAAGATTTTTGAAAAACTTTGAAAAACTCAAATTAATATTGCTACATTTTATTTGCTCTTTTTTTTCGTTTGTTGTTTATATTGTATTTTTTACATTGCACTGAATAAAATATTTTTCATTCTTTCTTTCTTTCTACAAAAAAGGGAGTTATATGTAGTTAAATGTGAGGGTTAAATGTGTGATTGATAGCAATGTATCATGTCTGCTTGGTGCGATTTACTCTGGAAACCAACATGATAAATGTCTTTCTGAATTTGTCAGGAAGGGCTAACTGACCGGATCTTATGTTTATGCTATCTACCTTACTGACAGCATAAATCGTTAGCGCAAGCGGGTACACCATTCCACTAAAAAATGTGAGATTCAGATAAATGAGTTACGATTCCTATTTAGTAAGTGTTAAATTGATAAATTTTTAAATTAATTTGTTTACTCTTTATTCAATTATGTATATGTTGCAATAACATAACATGCATAAGCAGCGCGCGGCGGGTGATGATGGTGAGATCAACTGCGCAGCGCGGCTCTCAGATAACCTCAGCAACTTATATGTAACAAATAGTATGATAAAACAATATATACCTAACAAAAATGCAAGTGTTCATATTACCTACGTACGGTACATAATAGTTATTTCAATACTATTTATTTACAATTAACAACTAACAGGGAATAAAAAGCATATTCAATAAATTATATGTGTTACTTGTATGTACAACTCTTTAAGTAAGTAATTTTGAAAGGATGATAATACAAGATAACATTATTAAATAAATAAATAAAATAATGCTAATTTTTCTGATTTGAAACATTCAAATATACAGACTTACTTTTTACTATTTGAATTTTCATTTATATTTTATTTTTATTTATTTTGAATGCCATTACATTTCATATAGTTTTACATTTTATATAGAATTAATTCGATTAAAACGCCAATTACAGATAATAATAAATTGAACTATGTTATCTATACATATACCCAAATAAAATTGGAGTATCTGTATGTAATATTGAAATAACCGCTTTTTACTACATGCATATGAATATCAATATATATTTATTTTTGTCTGTCTGTCTGACTGTTTGTTCCGGCTAAGCTCTGAAATGGCTTGATCGATTTTGACGTGACTTTTATTGGTAGGTAGCTGATGTAATAAGGAGTAACTTAGACTACTTTTATTTTAGAAAAATAAAGTTTAATTCCACGCGGACGAAGTCGCGGGTGCAGCTAGTAGTATATAAGTCTAGAGTAGACAATTTATGCAACAAACAAATTAAACAATTTACACAAGCAAATTAAAATAATGTGTATGTTGTACATTTAAAAACAATTTGCATACAAGCCAATGAAGTGTTTCCATTTTAGGCTCATATAAACTGTTTTAATCTAAAAGTCAAATAATTTCTGGGAAATAACTGCAGTTGTCGTTGTAGCCATCAGCACCACAGAACGTAATGTAACACATGTACTAATTAATGAAATCGTCAATAAAACGTAAAAACAAACTGGTGTTAGTGTAATGGGATATATAAAAGGGCCACGTTACTCGGATGTGTCCGTTTGGCAATTAATTTCATTAACCGAGTCTAATGCGCCCCCATAACGATCTAACATGTGTTTATTTTCATCCATATGTTACTCATTGCGTTAGTTTTATTATCTACATCTTATAAAACTCGTGTTTTTATCTAAAACTCGTTATATTTTGCGGTCTATTTGAACTTTAACAGTGTCAAAGAGTGTTTATAGATATTTTACTGCCACGCCTTATTATGTTGTATATATTTTAACATTGAAGATTTATGTACCTTGTATTTTGAAATACTAGTTTTTAGATGTTAAGGATTTTATACTTAGCAAACATTGTTTATCACTACACCTAAGTGTTAGTATATATAGTTCATAATATTAGTACATATGATTGATTCTTTGTGCTTGTGTTCAACCGAAAGACAGCTGAGAATTATAAAAATCTTGAAATACTCACTTATGTAGGTACAGACTACCGGAAACGATTTCTTCATATTTTCATGTGAAAATCTGTTGATCATTTATATATTGATCCTTAATTAGGGACTATAACTGCGATGATGAAGTTGAGTTTGATAACGATTGAAGTCGATTACCAACATTTAAGACGATGATATCATTAATGATGTGTCACAATATGAAAAAGAACATTTCTCTTCCCCATTATTTTTTAAGGTTTATAATCGACTATTATAAGTATAAAGTTTCTCTAGTATAATACTATTATCATCGCGGAAATTAGAAACTGATTTATTTATCTTTTGTTCAATAACGAAGGTCTGTTACCCACTGACTCTTGTCCTTCTACTACTACTCATGAACATTAATTCAGTTTACAATATAATTCCATTACAATTTATGTGAAAATTAGCATTATCAATAAACACGAAGTTGAAACTGAAATTGAAAGTTTGATGGAATACTATCATAGCAATTGTACATAAATACTATGATGATTATTAGAGTATACATCTGGTATAACATTAATACTTGTCTCATATTCTCATTAATACATATGTAAGCGTTCCCATTATCTATTAAGTATAATGTTTGTTGTTTCAGATGTCTCTTGTGGAGATTTCATCAGATTCTACCATGCGGGAAGAGAGGATTCAACACATATATAAGTTTTGTGCTCCACAATCTGTAAGTACAAATAATATATAAAGAATGTAATTTATTACACTATTTATACATGTTAGTTATAAATAAAAGTAAGTATCAATACACTTTATCCATAATAAATTCATAATTTATTTTAAACTGACGCGTGCTAAAACTTCAATTATAATGCGACTGAAATATAATTTCTGGCTATTTTTTTGGATGTATTATGCATACTGTAAAATATTTTAATATCGACGTTGTTAATATGATGTTGAAGGGTGCATACCCAGTAATGGGCACGACAACTTCAAATTAATTCTTAGATGTAATTAAATTAGTTTAAAACCGTATTTCGTTGCACTAAGAAATATGGTAAGGGTGATATTCTGGTATTTCCTTGAATTTTTTGTACATAGTCATGAGTTATGAGGATCGAGACAATAATATGTATATTAACTCTTTTATAAGACACAGCGGAATAAAGAATTAGGTTCAGTGCCATAATTAAATTTGATTGAAAGACTGGTAACTGAGCTAGGTAAATCTTGTATGGCGTGCACATGTACCTACGCTCCTCCTTGAATGAGTAGGTTGAAGCAGTTACCCTAACCGAGGCAAGCCTTTTAAAACATACACCGTAGGAGTAGTGGTAGAATGCTAAAGCGACTCCGTGACTCCGACAATGGCGGCTCGGAAGTACTTTGTGTGGTTTTTAGTACAGTAAGAGCCTAAGACAAGTCCACAGGCCTAGGACGGTGGATAGTTTTAAAGATTTTTCATATATTATAAAAAAGTAAATTCTATGACAATAGCACGGAACTTCAAGTTTATTAAGTTCCAAGTAAACTGGAAAATAATTTTATATCATTTATGTCAAGTAAATTACATTATAACTAAATTTTAATTATAGGTGTAAATTGAGCATTTATATAATGTTATTTCCTTCTAGTTGAATATAGGTATAACAATAACAAAATCCATATTATTATTAATTACTAGTTGATTTGAATATTATTATGTTATGATTAATTAAAAATTCTAAATATCTTTGTCTGTCTTTTACAGACAGTTATTTAAGTAGGTATATATATATGGTCTCTATATATGTGATAGTGTAATATCGCCTAAACTAATAATAGGTAATACAGACAAGAAAACAAATCTAAATTATAATCTTACATGGCGAAGCCAATAAATAAAATAAGATAAAATGGCGGCAGGCCATGCCTCATTATGCGTCGTGTAATTTTGGCATATTTCTGGTCATTTATATTGTTAATCGTGTCTTAACACGAATAATTTTATGGTAAACAAAGGTATTTATTTACCTCTCTATACTATGTGTATTTACCTCTAATAACATTATTCGTGGTAAGACCCGGTTAATAATATAAATAATGTATATTAAACATGAAAGTTTAAAAATAACTATAATTCTGGTCATTTCTAATGTCTAATATAATTAATATTAGTCATATGTTATTTCAAGTTTATACTTAAGTTAATTCCTTTCGCTATAATAATGTATTTATGAATAAAGAGCGGCAGTAAAATGATATCGTCTATTCACGCGGTCACCATGTTTGTTGGCGTCCTATAGAATTGATGTACTTGAATCATCTTTATTCGGCTCGTCAATAAACCGCCTATTGGCATTGTATTGTAATTGGGCCCGCTCTTGAATTACACACAACAAAAACGAATTTACAGTAATATTGGGTTACCTGAGAACAATATGGTAATGAATGTACATGGAGATTTGGATATCAAAAGATGTTTGATTTATAGAGTTTAATACCTGTTTGTTTTTTTACAGATCGAGTTTTGGATATGCATGAACCATACGATTCAGGGTATGTATGCCTATAGATGATAATAAATATAAGAGTTGTTTTAATTATTATCATGGTTTTATTTATTATAATTATAATTATATAATTACTTATTAAAGTATAATAAATTCGAGCAATGTTAAACTTTCATGTAAAAATTGTTGGACAAATTAGCATAAATTCAAAGAACATGTAATAGACACAAACTGTGGCTACACAAAAAAATTTTTAAAAATTACAAAGGGACAAATTTAAAATTGTTCTAAAATTTGTTATGATGTATGTTTTTTGATATGGTCTCTATACATTTTTTTTAGATCGATTTGTTATTTTAATTTCTAGTGTAATAATGAGTATACCTATATGTATACATATACATGTTTAGTAAATATTAGCACTGCAGAGTTCTATTTTTACGCGCTTAAATATTTAGAATATTAGTAGGATCCCCGAGGCAGACTGTAAAAAGTCATCATCGTGCGTACCTCAGTCTCACCTCACCTATTTAAGCAGCTTGCTTTGTAAGCTTCGTTTCGGTCGTAGGGTGCGATTAGGCAGTGTAATTACTGGATAGGAGGCATGATATCTTAGTCCTCTGGAAAGGTAATGCCTGAGTCGTATCACTGGTATCATGATAACATGATATCCGTAGTGTTGTTCCACTTACCATCAGGTGAGCCGTCACGTCGGCTAGTTTGTCGTTACAATTATAATTATATAAAAAAATATTTAGTGCTCCTTTAATATAGGCGATCGTTACCACTTACCACCACACCGTCTTTGTTATTCAAACTACATAAAAAGAAAGGATTCTGTGTTTTTCTTCCAACAGAAATAGTGACTGGCATGGGATGGTGGGGTCGCGGTTGCTGTGTCATAGGGCACTCGACGTCGTGTCGACACGCGTGTGCTACCGCTAAAGACGCGAGCCCTCTGCGGGCAGCGTGCAGACAGTCGGACGAGATCGCCCTGTTTGATTGTGTACAAAGTCAGGAACAGGCCCAGTCGTGCTGCTGTAGGTTTTGTTTAATTGTATAATATTAATAATTCTTCATTCCGCACAGAGAACAAATACAAAAAGAAAAAACAGCAGGTATGTCCGAAAATATATAAGACGGCCTTATCATATAAAAATTTCTTTATTCATGTAGGTATATTACAGACTCTTATGATATGTCAAATCTACCATCAGTTCGAAGTGCTTTCGAGCTAAGAGGATCTGAAAAGAAACTCAGCTGTTATTCTTGTCCAGTGAGCTTGTATATGTTTGTTCAAATACAGATTCATTTTCAAATTCAAATTAGGAAGAATGGGGTGGCTGCCAACATATTTGCAATTTTGTCAAAAGAAAATAGTCTATAGGAAGGAATGGAATAAGGAAATAGTCTTATGTTTAAAAGCAAACTGTTACAGAGTTAATAAAGTATAGTAGTATTACAAAATAAGTAAAATTTATTTTCATTATTACTTCTTTTCAAAGGTATAGCCAACAGTTGGCGATGTGGTGCAACTCTTGATCGTGCCAATATTTCTGGGTGTTTTCATTGCCAGAGAGTTTTCACCTGACTGAATGACGCGAGAAACGTGGTAGTCGGTCAGACTCAACTATTATGTTTTTACATTTTTTGCCAATTTGAATTCACAGCGCAAGCAGACTCGCTCAGTTGCTACGAGGCCTGTCAAAAGGTGTTGTGGCGTGTTGGACAGGCTCGCGTGGAGCTGGGCGCCCGAGAGCGGGCGATGGAGGCCTGCGAGCGCTCGCCTGCCTTGCTGCGCTGTCTTCAAAACATGACCGTTTCTACAGTACAAGTTGATACTTCAAAATGTAAGATCTCTGTTAATGTTTTCGTTTCATCTATATGGAGGGGGGGATTCAGTGCTCTCAATGTACCATGTTAATTTCTAGTAACTTGGCTATGTGGGGTTAACTGTTCTGACTTTCTGCTCATCCTATCATCTTCCACTGCTACGCCACTCGCACATACTGTTAGGACAGGCCGGTGTACAAATTTATTATAATCCATTAAAAGATGGTTTAATTTTACTTTATAATACAAGTGCCTATACATGTAGGTAGTTTAGGGTAAATTTCCCATTCATAATATTTACTAATACTTAATACAAAACATGATTCAAAGTAGGTTCACAGTTAGTTTCTGATGTCGCAATAGGTTTGATAAATATTTTATCCATTTTAAATAAAAATAAATAAAAATGAAATCAAAAATACATTTGATTTTACTTTTGATCTGTATGATAAGTCATTCTTTGTTTACAAGACCTAGTTTTTGTTCCGTTTGGAATAATATATAATGATTCACTTAATTTTTATTAGTCCTGATGCTGTAGTATTTTTTTATAGTAATATACTGTATACAGTATTTGTCGTACATATATAAATGTTATGTAGTGATATATTATGTTCTTAATTATTTCAGATTTGCCATGCTGCAAAGGTGTATCCAATGTGAAATGTAAGACTGCATGCGAGGATGTACTTAGTCGTACCGGAGATATCAACGAGATTACCGAAGCCTTATTCCAAAGCTGCGGCATGCCAACTTTACACAAAGATATGTGGCAATGCTTCCTGCAGAAGGACGCGCCACCTGATACCAAAGATCTTTTACCACATGCTGCAAATAAGCTACATTGCTGCCGAAAGGTAAATTAAACAATCTGGAATACTACTTGGTCGAAGTCGTCTACGTGGTCTACCTTTACCTTACCTTTGTCTTACTTATTTTGGCCGCTAAGCAACTTGCTTTGTGAAATGTGTTTAAGTTGAAGGATGAGTTAGGGCAGTGGGATTACAGGGTGTGAATCTATACCATATTAATTCTCTGATATTGCAACGCATGAGTGGTACCACTGGTGTCGTATAATGAGTGATGACCGTGAAATTATTTATGTACGTAGCAAGTATACCACATACGATATTTACGATAGATAGATTTTCAACTTGTTAGGCATTTAATTTCTATGAAGAAAGAAAACAGTCTGCTTGCATGGCTGTCTTTATTTTGATGGAATAAATGAGCACACAATTGCTAGTATTAGAAGATTCCTGGTTCGAATCCTGACAGGTTCGCCATATAAGGTACGTCTTATCTGACGATACGTAAATTATAGGCACGATATTTGTGTGTATACTTCTCGTATATAGTTTTAATCAACACTTTATACTACTTATGAGTTGGTGTTATGCTTCTTTACTGTTGCAAGTATGTACCTACTAGTACTTAGTTTAAATGATGCTATATACCTACTTCTTATTGTTTCTCATTAGGCAACAACGATACATTGCCGAAACCTGTGTTTCAACGCGTTCAATTTTGATGTTGGATGGGAGCATTGGAAAAAGTTTGATTCTGAATGTTTAGGGGAACCTCTGGAGGTCGAATTGTCTGAATGTTTGGAAGAGAGTAAGTATTTTCTTTATTTTTCATAGTAGCAGTCATTGTTTTTAACGTTGCTTATTGTTTCAATACATTTTATTCAATATCATTGATAATATAAACGAAAACTGTTTTATTTTTAGTTGAGTATCCATGTTCTCTGGGTTGTTCGGGTCTGACGTATTGTAGTCATTTGAACAATCATCACACTAGCCTCTTTAGATTTTGTTCAACAGTAGCTGATTTAAATTCACATTTGGAAGTAGCGGAACAAAGAGCTAATGGGTGAGTATTTTTAAATAGTTAGTGAATTATCCGTAGCTAAGTTCAGATCCCAGTTGCCGGAATAAAGCTTATTGGATGTTGTCTTGAAATTTAGAAGTTAGTTACCTTTGAAATTTAAAGACAATGACAATAATTTAGAATTGTATAGAGTTAACATAAAAATGTAATATTTTGTGTATTTTAGCGTAGTGACGGTATCAGGATATCGCTTGCATTTGAAAAAGAACTCATCACAACTCACTACAGATATGTGGAAAACTGTCACCTGTGCACTAAATGTGAAGCCTTGTACGCCGAAGGTAACCTTTTAAATATACTATTGTTTAAACAAAAAAAGTTTTCGTGTCCAAACAAATAAGCCAAGAGTTTTACAAATTGTGGATAGTTGTTTCTCCAAAAAATTCTTAATGCAAGTCGCCCTAGTAGAGCTGTTGACGGATATACCGCTGTAGTACCTGTAATAATATTATACAATGATATTTAATTGTTATAAAAAGGCGCTAAAGCACACGCGATTGAAGAGAGCAGAAATGCGCAAATTAGCAGAGCGCGGTGTCTTTCTCGACCTCTGTGTTTAAATTTACATACACATAATTTCACGCGTGAAAGTAGATTCGCGCATGATCCTACTTGTAAAGGCAGCTATTGAGGTGTTAAAGTGGACGTGTGGTGTGGACAGGGACAGAGCAGCCGGGTGTGCATGGCGGACTGCGTGCGGCTGGTGGCGGGCAGCGTGGAGTGGCGGCATGCGCCCGCGCAGCTGTCGGCCCATGCCCTGTGTGCGCGCCTGGCGCCGCGCGCGCCCTCCGCGCCCTGCGTACCGTTGCGGCACTACGCGGCGCCCGGTGAGTACTCATGATCGCCCTGCGTACCGCTGCGGCACTACGCGGCGCCCGGTGAGTACTCATGATCGCCCTGCGTACCGCTGCGGCACTACGCGGCGCCCGGTGAGTACTCATGATCGCCCTGCGTACCGCTGCGGCACTACGCGGCGCCCGGTGAGTACTCATGATCGCCCTGCGTACCGCTGCGGCACTACGCGGCGCCCGGTGAGTACTCATGATCGCCCTGCGTACCGCTGCGGCACTACGCGGCGCCCGGTGAGTACTCATGATCGCCCTGCGTACCGCTGCGGCACTACGCGGCGCCCGGTGAGTACTCATGATCGCCCTGCGTACCGCTGCGGCACTACGCGGCGCCCGGTGAGTACTCATGATCTATTCCACATCGGTTAAGGGCTCTGTAACATGTAACTTTATAATGTAAACATATAAACTTTTAATTTTAAATGTTCCTTGTACAGGAGTACGGTCAGTTTTATTTTTGTAAGACTTTGGAATACGATTCAAATTGTTGTTTTCATGACGATGCGCGAGAATTGGCTGTGATGGAATAATGAGTGGCTTAATATATATTGTTACAGGTACGGAAATAGCGCTAATGTCGCCGCAAGAAGCTGTGACGTCCCCATGCGGCGGGCAGGTGTGCGGGGCCAGCGAACTGTGCGTCATCAATCGGAATTGTATACACGGAGACCACTGCAAGCGGTACGCCTGCGAGCCTGGCTGCCGACTAGGTAAACGCAAAACTTTATATATATTAAGGAATTACTATACACATGCGCTGCCCATAATTGAAGATCGCATCATCCGACCCTTATTCTTTACCACTTCTCTTCATCTCTTACGATCGTGTGCCTTATGAACAGCTACATCTAGGGTCTCTAATAACCTTCATAAGTATCCTAAAGCGCTTAATGGCTCAGTTTGGATATACCATTATCTAGCTATTAATCGCTTTGGGTTGTCGTCAACCCAAAGCGATTATTAGTCAACTTTAGTCTGTCTGATTGCTTTTTTCAGTGTGGTTGAACAGCCGTTGGTCCTATAAGAACTCAAATGTTCATATTAATATGTTTTGGTTTCTGTTGTCAGGTGATCGCACAAGTACCGTGGTACCGATAGGGTCGCATGTGCGGGTGCCGATGGTAGGGTCAGGAAATACGGGGGAAGAGGGGAGTGGGGCACAGAAGGCTTGCTTCAAGGTGTGCCGCTGCACAACAAAGGGACTTCGCCACTGCCAGCCTCTGCCCTGTCTCTCTCTGGATAACTGTCGCCTACATGACAAGATAGTCCCACATGGTATCATATATATTTTATATTCCTATTTTAGACTAGTTAAAATCAGTTCAAACTCTAAAAACGGTATTCTCTTAATTTTAGTGCATACGAGTACAAGTAGTCTGTACATATAATAGGATTATTTCACTTGTCTATGGTATCAGTAACGACGAAAGTTTAATAAAGTAGCGTAGACTTTTCGGTGATATTTTTGTAACAAGGTCACTAGCATTACTGTACCAGGGTATTATATCATTATCAGGAGATAAATACTACATGGAGTGCAACCAATGTGTGTGCACGATGGGTGAGCGCGTGTGTGCGCGGCGAGCGTGCGGCGGAACTCGGGCGGTGCGGCCGCGGTTGCCGTGCGGCTGCCCGCCCCATCACCTGCCAGTGCATGCGCCAGGCCGGACCTTCCCTAACCTGTGCCTCGCCAGGTATGTGCCCGCCCGCCCCATCACCTGGCTGTGCACGCGCCCGGCCGCTCCTTCCCCCAACAGTGCCTCGCTAGGTACAACTGTATATCCTTATGTGCTTTCCACGACCTTTATGACGTTGATATTTTGCAAACCGAATAAAAATCTAGAATATTAAGCTGGTTACACATGTCTGATTTCTACTGCTGTTATATAAAAGTTTAGCGGCTATGGTTTGTATCGCTAATATTTCAGAACGTGTTCGCATAAAGCAGCAGGAACAGGTTGTGGCTTTGTACATACTTATATTGTAGAAGCGTTTACAAATTTTATATAATACAAGAAAGAGATGCGGTCCAGAATGACAACTCTTTTAGTTTCTTGTTCGCATCATAACAGTGTTACGTGCGATGCAAGTAAATTCGCCACAAGAGTAAAATATAAAGACAAAAAGTATATAATTGTTTCGATAATATGAACAGATGTGCGGGCGCAACAGACGCGGTGATCGAGTTTGCGCCGCGGCCGCCGTGCTCGGGCCCGGACGCGGGCGCGTGCGGGCGGCGCCACGCCTGCCTGCCGGCTCGGAACGTTTGCCTCTCGCGCTTGCAGACCTCCTGTCCGCAGCACGTCTGTGGTATGTTGTTTTTTTTTTATTTAAAATAGAATATAAGCTAACGGTCCACTTGTTGGTAAGTACAAACCGTCTTCTAAATAAACGGATCATGGAGATTACGTTGTTATATGACTTCTCTAACATCACTCCTGCGTTGCCATTCCAGAGAACTAACCATGGCTCTATCTTGTAACTCTATCTCTCTCACCTCTCTCTATCCTGTAACATTACTTCATTAACCAGAACACAGCTCACAAAGCAAGCTGGCGGCTGGAATATATGGATCTTGTATACGCAGACAACTTTTATAAACTAATAATAGAGTCCCTCTAGATTTGTGTACTCATTTTATATTTGTTAATTTAATAAGTCGTTTGAATACCATTAAGAGAGTCGTTTGAAGATATTTCGAGTAAAACGGCTGGTCCATTGTTATTTCAACTTGTTTATCTTTCCGACTATTTTATAACATTTGTCTTTAAAGTGGTCGAGGTATAAAACTTTGAAAATAATGACATTCATCACTCATTAGGTAATTTCAGTTTATGATTATTTTAATTGAATATAATTAAAAATACTGTTGAAAAATTATTATTTCGACCTGTTTAATCTAATTATGAGAAATATTTTTGTTTCAGTAAATATAACAGACTGTAGCTCCCAGCCGTCAACACCGGTTTGTGATATGGACGGCAAAACTCATGACAACCCCTGTCATCTCGTGATGAGCGGCAGCAAGTTCGCCTACTGGGGACCCTGCCTTAATAGATGTTCTAAGGTAAACAAATGTATTTTTAAAAATAAACTTCATACACAGTGTATTTGTATGAAGGTATCACGTATTAATAAGCCTAAAATAATTTATAGAATAATTTTATGTTTCAGGCTAGTGTAGTATGCGGCGTAAATGGAATAACTTACACATCGGAATGCGCTGCATGGGCGGAGTATGTGACGGTAGATTATATGGGACCCTGCTTAGCGGTCGGTCCTATATCAGATTTTATGGAGCCCAAATGTACTATTGATAGGATTACCTGCCTCCCACTGAAGAATCCAAAGTGTCTTGGATTTACAGCGCCAGGTGCCTGCTGTCCAAAATGTGGAGGAGCTCTTCGTATCCTGTATTCTAAGAAACAAATAGACAGAGCTCTATATGGCACAAACATTTCTGCTACTGCTATAAATCTGAATAAAATTCTCAAAGCTTTAGAAAGGCATGTCACAATAGCCGAATGTGCTTTGAGAGGATATTTAACCATAGAAATGGAAATCTTTGTTACCATCGAATCGCTTTTGGACAATCCGACTGACTTACAATTGAGTGTATGTGTTCTGGAAGCTGAGAAATTGGCTGACCTCATTAATAGGGAGAGTGCACTGATGTCTACAGATTTAGGACTTAGTGCTTTAACATATGCGTTGACAGTTCACACGTACTCCAACATGGGTGTGAACGGTGCAAGTGTATCATTTGTAGTGACTGTAGTATCTTATTTTACTGTGTATATTTTAAGATAAAAGTTGGCACATTTAGTATTAAGTAAAATGTATATAATGTAGTCAGGTGTACATAAATTTGTTTACCAAATATAACAGTGCCATTATAAGAAATTAACCAACTTATTAAATTGCTTTGGTCTGCTTTAAATGTATCTTGAGCACTTATTGTTGTACAGTATGTACAAAGGTGTGTAACGTGAGTTCATTGTGCCATCCATATAATGTAAACACTGAAGTTGTGATACCTTTTGTTTGCAACTTAGATGATGTAATGACTGAAATAAGATTTTAATAAAGACATTAAGTAGTCCTTTTACCAAATATGAGATTAAGATGACTATTTGTTAATTATATTTTGTTGATTGTGAAATAGATATATTTAGTTATACAATTAAGATTCAATATTTTGAAATAAATGAAATTAATTAAGTATATAGTTGATTTTATTTAGCACATAACACTGAATAATAGTGGAATATAATATAATCATGAAAATTTATATTATCACAATTAATTGATCAGTTATAGTTAAATTCGCTTAAGTCTCTCCTATCGAAAAATATATTAATCCTGTCCAGAAGTAGTGGGTCCGTAACTGTGTTGGCAAGCTGTAGGAATCCACTTTGCAATACTGGACTTATGAGTTGGAACCTCTCCAGCGGGAATGTAAGAACAAGTTCTAGATATGCCATCAAAATGTTCTGGAAACAATGTCGTCGCACGTCCGTATCCTGAAAGTTATAGAGTAATGAACAGTAAGACACAGAAAGAGGTTAATAATCGATTAATATAGAGATTATGCAACAAAATAAGTATTTGTTGCTGTGTAGTATGTAAGCATATAAATAATAATTTACCTTATTTATACTAAGTGTTCTTTGTTGCTCAATCTCTGGTGGAACTGGTTGTGGTGGAATAAGAGTCTCAAGATTTTTGTTTTTTTCATAAGATGAGCTGTCACATATTGTTATATTTACTTTTCGTGCAGCCATTTTTAAATCAACGCTATCAGTCACGCTACCTTTTTTCTCTTCCACAACACTTCGTTCTTTCTGAATAAAATTGTTTTTATTTACATCATTGTTATCGTTATTAGAGTCATTATTATTGACGATATTTTCTGGAGTAATATCACGTTTTGAATCAGAGGAATCTGCATTTGTTTCTGAATTATTATTTGACATTAATTGATCATTTTCAATATGGTCCACTTCAATAGAAGACTGACTGTTTTTCTTAAAGTCGGCAAAAGTGAACGGTCTAGGTTCATTATTGGCGTTATCATCCTCAATAGATCCTCTTTTTGTCGGAGATTCTAGCACTTTAGGTACATCCTGATTTGGTGCAGTATCTTGTGCATAATATTGTTCATAATGATTAGATGAAGAGTCTGTATCAGCTGAGCTGTATGACATTCGTTCTTTTATATGATCAGTGTTATCAAAATCAGACAAGTTAATTAAATGCTTCGTATAACTATTACATAACAGTTCCCACGTAGACTTTAATTCAAATATTTTTGTTACAAAACGATCATACTCCAGTGTTAGATTCAGTGTAGTCGTATAATTTTGAAGAATTATAGAAATGTCTGTTGATTTTAATTTAAATCGGTAGACGCCGCTGAAAAACAAATCTGTTAGGGCAATAATTTTGATCAACCATGATGAAGTCGTTTGTTTATATAAATTAGCAGCGTGATCCAAATTAGATACTTTCTGCACCAAAAATTTTAATCCTGGCCTGAAATCAAACTGCATCGCTCTTGTATAAGATAGTTCCAAGCTTTTAAGTAACATGTCAGTATTTTCACTATTTAAGAAGAATTTGTAATTACAAACATTGCTGCCAGTTTTAAGACTTTCCAAAAGAATACTATTTATTCCTTGAAAAACGTCCGACGAGGCTTGTATTAATACTGTAGCAATTATTTGAACTAATATCTGATGCGCTAAAAGCCCAACGACTAACCCTCTATGTGGAATTCTGACCGTATACAAATCTGGATTCAATGAGTTAATGGTTTCTTGTAAATATATGAGGAAGATGTAGCTTCTGTCATCTATTAGCATATGGGAAGAATTCTTTGATGTTAATTTCGAGTGCGTATCACTTTTGATTTGTTCCGTATAGAAAACTTGTTGAGCCATTGCATGAAGTCGTACGTTATCATTTACGGAACAATCGCGTCTCGCTGCAACTTTGACTATAGCTAGATCTCCATAAAAGCTGTTTGAATTTTCTTTGAAAGCATAAGTGAGCTGGTTCAGTGGGGTCAAGCTAACGTTACAGGCTCTATGCAGGCTTACACAAACGATTTCCCATTGTTTATCAGTTAACAAATGGCCTGATGTTAGTATTATGTGACGTATACACGATGCTCCCAATCTAGCTATTGGTTCTTGTGGCTGAGCTATACATTCTACTAATACTACCATGATTTGCTTTAATGCGAATGTTGCCTCAGGATTTTCAATGGGTTCTATTTCCGTGTTATTACTACCGTCTTCATTTTCAGACCTCTCAATGTTTATTTGTTGCAAATGATGTAGATATATTACAATAGTGTCTGTTGTCATGCCACAACATTGTTTGAAATTTGGCATAACGCTATCCCAATGTGTGTTAACATTAGCTATTTGCCGGAGCCAGTTTTGCACTGTCGGTAACAGGAGGTGATTAATACAGTGCAGTCCAAAATGTGTTCCTGGTATTTCAATAGTATTTCTTAGCAGTTTGAATAAGGTTTCCATAGCTGCCGGTTGATTTTTCTTAGAACAGACTACTGTTGCCGAAATTAGTCCTTCAATTAAAACGTACCAAACTTTCAATATATTATTTGGTCTATCCAGTTTCAATAAGCAGTTATTTGTAGTATTTGAATATGGTAAACATGTTGATAACTTTCTATAGGAGAACAGTTCCTCTTCACAATTTTCGTTTATAATATATCTAGTAATGTCTAATGATAGATTTGGTATTATTGGGTCAACTACGGCCGGTGGTAAGTCGCCTTTAATTCTGTTACCTGTATTAAATATAGGACATTTTGGCATATTGTACATCATTGTCAAAATATCTGCACAACTTTCCAAATGATATAAGGCTTCTTTACACATATCTACTATAACTTTTTCTGATTTCTCTTCACTGAGTGGTATGAATTTGCTGTTTTTGGAAAATTTAAGGCTGAGACTAGGTTTTGTTTGTGGTGAATTGACTTTCTTTGGTTTTACTTCAGTTGCTTGAACTTCCTCAAAATGAAGACCTTTTATGTGGCTAAGGAGGCACAAAATGCAATCAAGTGCAGCATTTGCAAACACTAAAGTATTATCGGTGCTAAGAAATACTTTGAATATTTCTAGTATTGCCGAGTACTGATTTGAATTGTTAGCGGCTCGTAGTGTATTAAAAAGAGGTCGCCAACCGGATCTAATTTCCATTCTATTTGTTTCAACAAACTCGCAGATACACGATATAATTTGTTCCTGGAAGCAAATATTGATCGTTATTATTTTTAATGTCGAGAAAGAAAAATAAAGAACAAGTAATATAATTGCAACATAGTTACCTGAATGTCGTCATCACAGAGTTCTAAACATAAAAGATTCTCAAATGGTTTAAGTAGAGCCTCATTGAAGTGGAAGTGAGGGAGTTCAACTTGTTGATTGAACAACGCTGTCGCGCAATCGTGTAGACATTGAATCGCTAGACTTGAAATTTGGATGTCCTTGTGGCATGCAGCCTGTAAAATATAATCACAATAAAATACATAAAGGTGCGTGTATAATGAAATACATTGCAAGATTAATTTTCTGCAAAGATTATTAGCTGCCAGACATTTATTTTATAATAAATAGAATCTGTAATTTTGAATGTCAACACTCTCTGTTATTAACATTAAAAATTACGCATCGAATTGTAAGCGAGATTAATTCGTTTTTAGAGATTAATTAGTTAGACTCCCAGACGAGTTAATGACTCGTCTGGGAGTCTAACTAATAACTCTAAATTAATAATTTCTTTTTAATGTCCTACTCCACAACTCATACTCGGAACTGCAGCTGACTTTAACCATTTTAGAAGTTTTCGGCCGAGAGAAAATGATTGACGAATTTAGCCCCTGGATCGTGTACTATGTGGGTACATAGTTATAATTACAAACGTATAGGTTACTGTAAATGTGAAATTAAAAAGACGCATGATTAAACAAATGATGCATCTTAATCTTGTAGAATACCAACGCATAAATGATATCACGTGTGTCACATGGTAACATGATGCCCGTAGTGCTATTCATGTATATATAAACAAAGCATATCCGGTTCTCAATCTTTCCTTCATTAAGTACTTCGTGAAGAAAGCATCTCGACGTTATTTTCACTCCGCCCAATCTCACCCGAACCCGCTCATTGTCAGTATGGTCAATGATACACCGAGGAGTCCGAGAGTTGTCCTTAGTCGACTTAGGACAACTCTCGGACTCCTCGGTCACACACCACCTGAGGCACTTTCTTATTGATCCCGACGACCCCATAACGGCATCTAACCTCCATACGGGTCCACCTGTTCCGTTCCTATCACGTTTCTACACGTTGGCACTCATCCGCTCCATAAGTCCTTCTACGGGTTTGGAGTGCCATCTACACTCATCCCCTATCGTTCGGTGAAGCTGCAAAGGCCAGTAGCGGCCAAAAGCTTTAGAGTAGTACGAAAAGAAAAATTACCGCCGGCAGTAGTAGTCGTACCTGCACGAGGTGTGCCACAGCGGCCGCGGCACAGCGCGCGCGCCGCCACCTCCACCACTACCACCGGTCGTCGTCGCCGTACCTGCATGAGGTGCGGCCCGAGCACGGTCCAGATGGCCATGCGGTGCGCGAGCGGGCGCGCGGCGCGCAGGCAGCGCAGCGCCACGTCCCCGCCGCGGCACAGCGCGCGCGCCGCCACCACCACCACTACCACCGGTCGTCGTCGCCGTACCTGCATGAGGTGCGGCCCGAGCACGGTCCAGATGGCCATGCGGTGCGCGAGCGGGCGCGCGGCGCGCAGGCAGCGCAGCGCCACGTCCCCGCCGCGGCACAGCGCGCGCGCCGCCACCACCACCACTACCACCGGTCGTCGTCGCCGTACCTGCATGAGGTGCGGCCCGAGCACGGTCCAGATGGCCATGCGGTGCGCGAGCGGGCGCGCGGCGCGCAGGCAGCGCAGCGCCACGTCCCCGCCGCGGCACAGCGCGCGCGCCGCCACCACCACCACTACCACCGGTCGTCGTCGCCGTACCTGCATGAGGTGCGGCCCGAGCACGGTCCAGATGGCCATGCGGTGCGCGAGCGGGCGCGCGGCGCGCAGGCAGCGCAGCGCCACGTCCCCGCCGCGGCACAGCGCGCGCGCCGCCACCACCACCACTACCACCGGTCGTCGTCGCCGTACCTGCATGAGGTGCGGCCCGAGCACGGTCCAGATGGCCATGCGGTGCGCGAGCGGGCGCGCGGCGCGCAGGCAGCGCAGCGCCACGTCCCCGCCGCGGCACAGCGCGCGCGCCGCCACCACCACCACTACCACCGGTCGTCGTCGCCGTACCTGCATGAGGTGCGGCCCGAGCACGGTCCAGATGGCCATGCGGTGCGCGAGCGGGCGCGCGGCGCGCAGGCAGCGCAGCGCCACGTCCCCGCCGCGGCACAGCGCGCGCGCCGCCGACCCGCCGCCGCCGCCTGCGCGCCGCCACCACCACCAGTTGTTGTTCGCCGCGTCTTGATCCCACGATGTAAACAGCTGTTACACCACTACGTATTAGTAATAATACAATAAAAACCTAAAAAAAATATAGTGATGTCCTGACAAAGCGATTCTAGCGCTCGATGAGCTATACGAGCGCGAGCAGTGTTAGTGCGTGTGGCGGTACTGACGAAGCAGTACAGTGCGACGAGCCACTCAGCACGGGCAACGTGTGTGTGTGTGTGTGTGTGTGTGTGTGTGCGCGCGTACGAACGTGCGTGTGTGTGCGTGTGAGGGTATGGCGGTACTCATGAGCGTTACTAGTGGGCGACGAGTCGCTGCAATGCCGACAGTGTGTGAGTGTGTGTCGTTTGGCGGTACTCACGAGACGGTGCTGGTGCGCGACCAGCCGCTGCAGCGCGGCGCGCAGCGTTGGCAGCGTGGTGGTGGCTGCGAGCCGCGAGAACAGCGCGTCCGCCGCCGCCGCCAGCGCACAACACACGCGTGCTGCGCCCGCGCCACTCACCACATTCCCGCCCTGTTGTTTACGAACAGACATCATCCAATTAGCAATCCAGGGCTTGCGTTATGGGTACTACATAATTGATATAAACACTTAAATATATATTTCTGCTATATGTAAGACGCTAAGTGTGCTAAATAGCTGGACCACTGGTAATTTAATTAAAATCATGATTTGTCTCATTTCCGATATCACCTGAACTAGTGACAAGTGCTAATTTATTGGGTAAGTTGTAGCTTAAATTCGTGATGGTACTTGTAACTAATTGTTCCTAATTGTTTTTAATCATATGAAGTAAAAATTAGCTAGTGACCTAGTGTCTTCGAACACAATTGTGGTAATGTGTGTATCTTGATGACTTTTCATGAACTCCTTCTAGAGATTCGTTAAAGAATTTACTTACCGACTACTATTATGTATTAACTACTTATTTTCTTACCTCCTGTCGACAAGCTTCGACAATTTTGGGCACAGACATGTCATTATTGAGATTATTTTCCAGCACCGGCTGCAGGAAGTTGAATACGTCCACACTGTAAAAGAAGTGTTGCATTTAACAAAGAAAGAATAGAATAGAAATCGCTTATTCAAATAAACTTAATTAAAGCGCTTTTGAATAGTCACCACAATTTTTATAATCTACTGCTCATTTGGAAAACTGTCTCATCACAAGAAGAATGAGCAAGAAACTTGTGTATTGCTTTTTTAAATATCAGAATTGTAAATTGACTAAAGTTTCGGTCAATTATTATTTTTTTGTACCTAATTTAGGATAAACTCTTAGGCCACAACGTATGTCTCATCTCAGTATTATGTTACTACAATAGGGAACAGTAGCAAGCGCTAGTAAGTCAGCTTACTAGGTTTCGTTTGTCCCTGGGGCGTAACGCGGGGTCTTTCTCGGTCTCTTTGTCTACATTTAGATGCACATTGTTTCTAGCGTGAAAGCGATTCCCGCCTGAAAGAGCGTAAGTGAAAGGCAAGTAATGATGGAGCTGACCAGGTCTCGTCGTCCCTGGGGCGCTGCGCGGGGTCGGGCTGCAGCACGGAGACGGTGCGGTCGCGCGCGGTGTGCAGCGCCAGCAGCGCGGCGGGCGGGTGCGCGTGCTGCCCGAACAGAGCGTGCTCCAGGCTCGCCACGTACTCGCACGCCGCGAATATGTGCTCCCAGCACTCCGGCGCCTTCGAGCCCAGCTCCAGGCCGCCTACCACACCATTCCACTACTTAGTACGTTGTCAAAGTTTCAGAAACCCCTTAGCACACCATTCCAAAGTTTCAGACCCCTTAGTACACTTTTTCAAAGTTTCAGAATAATTCGTATGTATTATAACTTGGTGTACGGCCGTTGACAAAACAAAACCATCCATAAATTACATAACACAAATTTAATGACTTTTATATCCTTCCTAGTCCTTGTCACAGCCAATAAATTTGTCAGGCTTCTACTCTGTCGTGACGTCACATATTTTCTACAGTTTTACATTAAGAAATAATCATCACTTTTATAATTCGTTTGAAGTATTTATTAATAAATACAGATTTTGATATGTGATGTCCCAAAATTTGTAACTCCTCCCAACCCTTGTCACACAGTATCACATTCCTCGACCCCCTTCCGTCCCTCATGTAATTTCAATAATATTTCTATTTAGTGAATGAAATTCTATTTTAGTGAGTTAATTTCAATGTTTGGTAAAACAAGGTAAGTATTAAAGAATTACTTGCTTTTATTCCGATTTGAATAGTAAAGATATTATACATTATTTTAGAATACATAAGAAAAACTATATATATACGAATATTACCTGTAATTAATATGTCTAATGAAAGCGCATGCGTGGCTAAGATTTTTCCGTTAGGTGGTTGCGATATTGCAGAGTTGGCCAAAAGTGCTAGAATACTGCTGCAACGATTTTGCAGGCTCAATGTGTTGCTGACTCGTGCCGCCTGAAATTAGAATTTATTAAATGGTACGAAGTTATTAAATGGTACGACTTACAAGACACCACAATGTGATATGTTCAGTGATCGCCGGTATAAAAAGTAGCCTCAACAAAAAAAGTCTTCCTACCTTATGTAAGCCCTCTAAACACTGTATAGTCAGTCCTTCCCATGCTATCCTCTTTCTCTTGCCGAAGGTGTTAATCTTCTTCGTTAACATCCCGTGTAGTTTCTGTTTCTTATTTCTGTATTCAGTCAGAGGGACACTTAGGACTGTCACCATTGAGTCCCAGATACATGTCAGTATCCTGTTGGAGATGTGAAATTATTTAGAGTTACGTTTTAAATGGAGCTATACTTCACAAATGCATATAATCCCACACAAAATTTTGCAGTTATATTCATTGTTTACACAATTTATAGGTACCAATATTTCACTTATTTTGGCGAACAGCCTTAATTATATAGCAATTCCAGGACTTTACTTTGAATTAATATTGATTTGTAATTTAAATACCATGTAAATGACCTGTCCTGACTTTCAGTATTAGTCGTCATTACTGATAAATTTATTACTGAAGTAGACTTTGTATAAAGTTGCTTTCTTTGCAAGCTATGTTTCACTATGAAGGGACGAAAACCTTAGTCCTCAGAAATGGAAACGTATGAGTGGTACGACTAGCGTTACATAACGACATTCGTGCATAAAGGCGACATTTGTCACTTTCCATTACCATTATCGTCATCAACAGTCAGCTTATTTGCCATTTCAGCTATATATAAGTTCAATTTGTGTACGATACCTTCTAGCCCACCGGAAGCTGGCTTGATGTTCTGGTGAGTCGTTTGTATTGTTGTACAACATCGATACTTCTTTTAATCTCTGCCAGTCTGACATTACTGGACTCGGATCCAGACCCCCAAGGTCTGCGAACATAACGTGTAAAATTGAAACTAGGAACTGATGATAACATGATGTCCGTAGTACTGTTCATGCATTATGAAGGGTTCATGCATATAAAATTTAATGTAGGTGTTATTATTAATGGCTAAAATTTAAATTAAAAGATTCCGAATTGTTGTTTTATGATCACAATTAATATAAAATAGGCCTCCTAAGATCAATTAGATCTATTAGAAGATCATGGTACATTTTTTATGTAAAAGGTATTTATTAATTAATTAATACCATTGTGCATCTCTACTTCCAAAAAAACAATTGACCAACCACGTCATAATAATGTTCGTGAAAGAGATGTTCTTAGTTACTATTTAGTTGTCTCATCTAAATTACATTAATGCAGTTTTATATATATATCTTCTTACCCGATAGTAAATGAATGAGGGGATGATCTGTTGTTGGAACGTCTTTTAATAGATCATTTGAGAGTACTTGCTGGTATAACTCTCGGAGCCACGTAGCGGACAGATAGACAAGAACACCACTTCCCTGCACTTCTTCAACGAAATCATCCTCTGTTAAGACAATTGGTACTTTCTGGAAGAAACACATTTCAGATGTTAGGATTACACGTGAAAAGAATTAATGATGAGATCTGACTTAGGAGATTTTAAACAATAATAATTATCGTAAGTTTTTCAATGACGAAGAAAGTTTCTAGATTGGTGATGCTTTACTGCCATAAACACAATATATCTATGTAGTCATATCCTGCTGGTAAACAAAATGTATATTTATCTTTTTTCATAGTAGTAAGTTGATTTTATTTGAATAGTTGATTGGATACAGGTCTTATCAATGATAAAAAAATTGCTAAGCCATACAACAAGTACTTCACCAGAGTATTCTATATATACAAATAGGAACTTAATATGACCTCTGTAACAAAATTTATTTGTCTCCTACTAAAATAGGCATAATAGTGACGTCATTGTGTAAACAAAAAAGATAAATAGAATAATAAACTAATATTACGATTTAAAAGAATAATTGGTAATAAAATGTTCAGTAGGAGTACTTACAGCAGAGTGAGCGGTAGATGCAGATGTAGTATGTGGTACGGGCGCGGGTGAACAAGATGCAGCGCGACGCTGACGCAGATTGAGTAGTAGAGCTGCGTACGTGGCGAGGTACACGCCGTCTGCGTTCATGATACATGCAGTGGCTGGTGGGGCCATGGCATTGTGTTGGCAGCACTTTGACGCAAATTCCTGCATCGCCTCATCAACCTAATACATAACATATTTACATTTAGAATTATTGATGTGTATCCCTTAAATATATTGTATTCCTTACGCTGGAACTCCCATAGTTTGAGAAACAAAATATCATCATCATCATCATCATCATCATCTGCTTCTTTCTTATTTCATTTATTTGGGGTCGGCGTAATATGTTTTTCTCTTCCATTCATCCCTGTTCGCAGTCATCCCGTTATTTACTTACTTTCTTAGCATATCATCTTTCACACAGTCCATCCATCTCTTTTTCGGCCCTCCTCTGCCCGTATAACCATCCACATTCATATAATAATAATACACATTCATATGATAATATTTTAAGGAAGGTATTACCTTCCTTAAAATATTATCCTCATTCCTACTACATAATTAATAACTTCCTATGTATTTAGGAAATGTAAAAGTTGCTTTTATTTTTTTAGCCACAGACAAAAGAGTATTGAAATGAAGTAATAAAAACAATATGAGTATAATATCAAGAACATACCTCAATACAAGTTCGAAGGTGTAGCAATTTAGGAAGCAAAGAGTTCTGCAAAGTTTTGATGAACTGTCTCGCGTTGTGTCTTTCCAAATCAACATTGCATTCTGTTATAGTACATCTGGAAATATCAACAAGTGAATTTTCTAACATATACTAAACAAACCACGCAACTCGATTGCAGGTTACCTTTTTCCATACATTTTTTTAAATTCTACTATTTTAATGCTACTATTATCCTTTAAGTGTCCGTTTTAAGTACATGGTGGGTCGATATTGGACCGCAGTTATAGTTATGTGTGTTTCTGCCGGCCGGCCACCGTTTGTGTACATTACAATCAGTCGCCAATATAACCGTGAAGACACAACGTCGTTTTATTTAAATTTAAGTACAAAATTCCACTTCTCCCAAGGCAAACTATATACAGCTTTAACACAATCAACATATGGTCGAAATCGAGCCGGATTGCAATTGCATTGTTTACCTGCGTTGAGAACAAAAGACCCACTGTAACTCGGGTCTCAAGACAAAAGGAGTTCGAGAAACATCTAATTTTTGTGAGTTATATTGAATAATAGAATTACAACGTTTTAAAACTTGAACATTATAAGCATATTCAAGCTGTTTACTGCTGTTGGGAGTGAGCAGCAATACAAAGTGGATTTTAGAAGATTTGAAGTGTTTACGAAACGTCGTTTTAAACAAGATGTCCGTTGTTGAACAATACATGACAGTAATAGAAGACACAGCAAGCTTATTACAAAGAGCACAAATCAATTTAAAGAAGTGTCCAAAGCAACGATTAACACAAGGGTACATAGAAACTAGATTAAAATGCATAGAAGAATATTGGAACACTTTCAAAGAAGCTAATCAAAATCTATGCAAATCTACACCTCGAGATAAACGTGCCGACATACCTTACTTTGTCAATGAAGATTATTTTATTATAGAAGACCTGTATTTGTGTTTAGAAGCGGACCTGAAAGATATGTTACGTGGTATGCAGACTCGAAGCAAAGAGCAACAATCGACTTCGTATAGCAATGTAGACGTTGAAGAAAGGACTTCACAAGTGAAATTACCCAGAATTGAAATCCCCGTATTCCAAGGGAAATATGAGGACTGGGCTACATATCATGATTTGTTCACATCATTGGTGCATAATAACACATCACTTAGTAACGTGCAAAAGTTACATTATCTGAAGACCAGTATGCCGGGAAGCAGCTTACCTGTTGAAACACATACAAGTTACAGATAACAATTACAATCAAGCATGGGATATTCTCAAAAACAGGTATGGAAACAAGCGTATGATACTTGCCTCCATTTTAAAGCGATTGTTTGGCCAGAAAAAGATATCTACACAGTCAGCCTACAATATAAGATCATTACTAGATACCACTTCAGAATGTATTAACAATTTACATAATTTATATATACCTACGGACTCTTGGGATCCAGTAATTATATATTTGGTGGTGCAAAAATTGGACTTGGAGTCACATAAGGAGTGGGAAGAGTATGCATACAAAGAAAACTCAGACGATTTACCTTCGTGGACGGAGCTGAAGAAGTTTCTGGAATCTAAATTTCGTACATTGGAGCTTGTTAATCCCTATACATCATCATCAATAAAAGAAAGGCCAGTAGCTACTAAGGAACGAACTTTTCATGCTACAACTACTGAAAAAACGTGTTTCATGTGCAAAGAGAATCATACACTGTGTCATTGTAAAGAATTTGCAAAAATGGACCCTCAACAAAGAAGTCACTACGTGAAAACCAATAATTTATGTTATAATTGTTTATTGCCCGGACATACAGTATTTAAATGTCGAATAGCCATGACATGTCGCATATGTCATAGGCGCCATCACTCTCTACTGCATGAAGATAAGAATAACAACGCTAACACGTCGGCTCACCTGGAGAAGTCAGTACAACCTAACTTGTCAGCGCATTTTAGAGTAGAGGAGCGAGATTACAATACAGTGATTGCGTCGAATTATAGCAGTAATTGCGGGAAGGAGACAGCCTTTTTAGCAACCGCAATGGTGACAGTGAATAATAAAAAAGGACATGCTGTTGTATTAAGGGCATTAATTGATCAAGGGTCTGAACAGAGTTTTATAAGTGAAAAGGCGGCTCAATTATTACAATTAGAGAGAACACCAATTAAGGCAACTGTGGTTGGAATGGGATCTATGAAGTCACAATTAAAGCAAGTGGTGCAGGTTCAGGTTTCATCTAAATGGGACAACAATAGCAGTCATTATATATCAGCATATGTGATGTCAAAACAACTGACCACCAAAATACCACAGAGGGTTGTCACTGGACATAAGTGGCAACATGTACAAGGACTTATCTTAGCCGATCCAACATACTACAAACCTGGGGTAATTGATTTGCTTCTGGGTGTAAAGGTTTATTCAAAAATAATAGAAAATCAATTAATCAAAGGGCCACCAGGGACTCCAAGTGCACAAAAAACATCCCTGGGCTGGATCCTATTTGGAGAGATAAATACAGCACCGAGCAATGAACCGCTCGTTGTAATGCATGCTCAAGTAGATGTAGAAGAAAACATAAAAATTCGGAATGGAAACACAGAAAATACAGTAAGAGAACGTAACAAAAATCCAAAATTCAAAGAGAAATGTACAACATTTATGGAACATGCACCTCAAAATGAGATTAATATTAAAAAATGTACAGGATGTTCTTATTTACCAAAGCATATGAAGACAATTGGAGTATCCTGTAGAGAGAAAAAGCAAAGCGTAAAATATAAAAACAGATTTATAAAGTAGAAAATAACTAATACAAACAAATTAGAAGATACAAGAATTTAAAACTTCACGAAGCAAATACATTATATTGAGAAATTAACCGAAGAAATAGAATACTACTAAAGAATACAGAAAAAGTGAAAAGGAAAAGTAGATTAAAATCACTGAACCCATACCTGGACAAGCATGATATTCCCAGGGTGGGCGGAAAGTTAAAACATGCAGAAATAAGTCATGATCATTATACAGTGTAGTTTTAAGTTACATTTGTAAAAAGAACTTACAGTCCTTTTGGTGGGCGGTATGGTTGGTCTATATTGGACCGCAGTTATAGTTATGTGTGTTTCTGCCGGCCGGCCACCGTTTGTGTACATTACAATCAGTCGCCAAAATACAACCGAGAAGACACAACGTCGTTTCATTTAAATTTAAGTACAAAATTTCCACTTCTCCCAAAGCAAACAAAAAGCAGCTTTAACACAATCAACAGTACATAATATTAAAATTTAACCTCACCTTCCCAAATTCAGTGTTTTCGGTATAGTTTTGACATTATTACTAGTCTGTTTCTCAGTATCATTGGGTGTAGGATTAGAAGCTCGGGAAGGAAGAAATACATTGTCGGCATCAGAGTCTGCTTCGCCGTCAGAGCTTAAATTTTCAGGACCTGATGTATCTATAAATAAATTTAAATTGAATATTAGAATGATTTTTAGGATCCATTTGACCATTATTTAGCCTTTCTGTTTTTCTTTAAATCTATTTTTTTAGAATTGTGATGACGGTGGTATATAGTGCCGTCTGTCTCTGCTTATAGCCGACTGAAAATGCGACCATCTTTATAGTAATATTTTATTAATAGAAAAAATTATAATTTTTGTCGGTGAGGTTTAGTTTTTTATATTTAAAAATGGTACCTCCATTTTTAAATATAAAAAACGAAACCTTGCCGCCCCTTCTAGCATGCCGTCCGTGCCTACAGCACTAAAAACCACCTGGCATCCCCCAAGCAAATGGATATAGGTAAAGCAAAATCAAAGTATTTACTACCTGATGAATCGTCCTTTTCTTCATTGCTTTGTAATACTGCTACTACGTCTCTGAAATATAATAAAATATATATAGAAAATATTTCGTAACATTGCATCAAAAATAATTAACGTTTCAACAAGTAATAATGATAACTTGAACAATAATAGTTCGATTTGATTTGAGGTTATAAATGTTCTTTCTGATTGTTATTATTCTGTGTATTATTAATAATTATGTTTATAATTATATATAATAATAATATAATAAGTGGTTTAATGTATGTAATGGAAAAACTCAAAACTAACGCATGCTTAGCTTAATGTCATTTTCTAAAATGAAATTCTTCTGGTGTTACTCGGCATGACTTAACTTTTTTCTTACCTATATGGACTTGGTAATCTAGCTAATGTTTGATAAGTCAGTGGTCCAGTATAATCAGCGTCGTGTAATTTAGGCCAATGTTGTAACATAACCGCTGCTGTGTCACTCGGTATATACTCTGAATTGTTACACAACTTCTCAAGAGCATCGAGTAAAGACACCACACATTCTACTGAAGCTGCAATCACTTCAGGGTTAGCGCTACGTCCCGATTCTTCAATTCCATCCATTATTCTGTGAGTATCAATAAGTGTTACAGTAAATATTTATAACCTATTAATGCAAAGAAAGAAAAACAGAAGAGAAATTCGACTACAAGTATAGTATTTGTGAAATTGAAAGATTTTTACAAGAAAATATGGGTTAGAAACGTTACATTTTTAAATGTTAAATTCAAATAGACTTTATTAATAAATTGAAGTACTGTTATAAAGTGGAATGCCGACTACCTGCCGACATTTTGTCTAGAGATTATGGTTCTTTTGAAGACGAGTATTGTAACATTTACTACGGGTCCACAATGCGCACGTGACGCTCTTGGTATTAAGGGCGGCTAAGGTAACCGATTACAAAAAATAATATAATAGTATAATTGGCCGAATTGTGGTATAAAAATGCAGCATATCATTACTTACAGTCGTAATATAGCCATATCATCACTATGTCGCTCGGGATGGTCAGTTTTCTTCAATAATACCAGCTGAGCTAGGCGTTTCGGATTGTGTAACAATTCCCTTACACTTCTCAAAGGTTCAACACGATGAACAACTGGTGGGTATAGAAGCATTCTATGGTATAAGGCTTCTAAAACAGGCCGTAGATTTGAAGTGGAGCCTACTAGGCGGACCAGTTGGTTTGCTATACTGGAATAATATAGAATTCTTATGAATATATTTAATACTAGCTGTACCCGCGACCTAGTCCGCGTGGAAGTTAACTTTATTTTCTAAAATAAAAGTAGCCTAAGTTACTCCTTATTACATCAGCTCAGTGCCAAAAAAAAGTTCCATCAAAATCAGTCCAGCCATTTCAGAGATTAGCCGGAATAAACAGACAGACAGACAAAAATTGATATATATTGATATTCATATGCATGCAGTAAAAAGCGGTTATTTCAATATTACATACAGACACTCTAATTTTATTTATATGTATAGATGTATAGATTTATATATTATGTCTAATCTCTCACTTAATAAGCGTTAGTAGCGGTAGATCAGTGGAAGATAATAGGATGATTTACGACGTGTCTGAGACGAGCAATTATGTTAGTATACTGTACATACCTGTAAATAGCCTTGGCTTGCTTGCTGTTGAAGCTAGGCGCGCTGTTCAAAGCACCGGAACCTCTACCCGAATCGTCTACTAGGTGTCCCTCGTGTTCCCTGTACATCCAGACATGAATTACTTATCTATCGCATCTAATGAAGCGTAGCATGTTGACGTTTATGAAAGCCTTCTATATTGTTATCGCTTGCTTCATGTAGTTCAGAAAAAGGGTATTTTACAGAATAAGAAACTGTAAATACAATTCGTTCATCATCGACAAATGATTATTTATCATCATAATAGCAACTTTGTTCACTGAAGGCTATATATGTATTGCGAAATATTCAATAATAACACACAAAACGTTGTAATCCCTTGATTTTCTTAATATTACGTGACAATGATATTTTAAACATTTTAACTACTCTTCGAAGTCGCTATATGAGTCATCAACGAGTTTAGCTGATAGCTGTTGAGTTAAAATCTTATTAAATAGAACATATATCGTACCTGGACTTAATATTTTTATCAACTCGAGGCGTTCCGAGAAAGGATATGAGCGATGGACAGAATTTCTGCCAGAGGAAAGTAGTGAAGTGTAAATTGCCGCAAACACGCTCAGATAGACTTGACATAAGTGTCAGGAGACACTCCAAGAAGAATTGCGCCAATGGATTCTGCTTCGGTATTCTGGATAGGATTGAAAAGGAATGTATGAAGAAAATAATGAAATCTTTGTAATTCTGTGTAAATTTAAATAACGAAAATACCATAAACTAATCAGTAAACTCTACTACTACTATTAGTATCACCAGTGGCGTAATTATCTCAGTCATCATCAGCCTCTCCGTTTATATAAAAACGATTTATGCTCATTGTAGTTGTAGTATTGATTGGTCACATTTATACAATGAACATTTATTTCAGAATTGTTATAAATATTACGATATTATAATCCTATGCTTACTGTCTTTAAAATTACAGACTACTTTAGGACCCGGATCCTCTAGTATTTCGCCCACTATAGTACCCTATTATTATACCAGTGTCCAAACAACAATAAGAGCAAAGATTTCTGTAATAGTAAGATTTTCTTTTGCACTTTACACTTTTATATAGATATCAGTTTTTTCACATTAACTGGAAATAACATAATGTTAATTCTTACTACTTATTAGTAGTATTTCATATATATATAAAGTAAGTATGACTTCAGTGATAGAAGATTTTTAGTGTTATTAAACTTTAACAATATAATTCAATGCACGAATTAGATCCCTCTATAGAGCTTATTAAACTTGAAATTGACTTACAGCTGCGTTTCCGACAGCCTGCTGCATAAGTATTGAATTACTGGTATGACTTCACTGTAACATCCTACTGCTACTATGTGATTCCTCCCGAGAGGAGACCCTTCAGAAAGAAGTTCTTGACATTCTTCATCTGCAACCAAATTAGACAATATGCACTTATACAATGTGCTTTTCATAAAGTTATTTATTTCAGTTTGATAGGCACATTGTTCTCGCGTTCGCATCACGTTGCTTACCGATACATAGTATAAGCTATACGGTTATCATTTTACATCAAGAAGTCCAATTGAGTGCTATTCCAGTTACATAAAGTATACATGCATTAATTCCTGGTATTCTCACCGAGTTGGGCGCAGTAAGCGCGAAGCATCTGTGCGGCTGCGGCTCGTGCGGCTGCAGCTACGTGTGCGGGCCCGCCGGCTGCTTCACCGCACCGGCCACAAGCCCATACGCATAATCGTCCGTTGAGAGTACGACGAGGTGACAATGCCAGGGAGAGGTACATGCGGAATATCTGGACCTGGCGGACACGAAATTGATATTCAAATCCGATTTTGTCAGACTCTTCTAAATCGTCTACTTAAGTCAGTCTGTTAATTCTGTTATAAGGAGCTATTTATTTATTTTTGAGACAGACACATGTCTACAAAATTACTGAAGAATATTCACAGAGGTATAAAATTCTGTTGCAAATATTGATGCCCTCCTATGAGATTATGTAATTCCTAAATATATATATGTTATATCTATCAGAAGGTAAGTTAGTCTACTAAGTTTAAAAACTTTAAATTAAAATAAAATATAGTAATGGATGTTGCATTCCATGCCGCGTTTTGGTTTGAAAACTTAGAAATATTTTATTCTCAGAAATAACAAAGCAAGATACGTCACGATATGTTTTCTAAGATCGACATTTCGTTTTTTCATGAGATGAGCGGTCAGGAGGGTGATGGTGGTCGTTGTCATTACAATTTAAAAGGGCATTCATTATAGGTAGGCTTTATAAGGAGTGCTCATTTATCTCTGCTTGGATGATATCATTCTTTAATAATTTGAAGAGATTTTTATCTAACCGAACCAATTTCTAATTATATGAAAACAAGAATAAAAAGCAAGCAAAATTATGAGTTTCACATCCTAGATGTTAAAACTATAGGTATGCGGTTTAGTATTTTTTGTAATATAAATAATAAATGTATTTAGGTACCTGCGTGTCAGGTAAGTGGTACATGACAGAAGCTGTGGCGCACAGGAGTTGCGACGGCATCCATAGTGAATCATCTTCAGGCTCAATACCCCTATGGAATCTGTCATCTCTGAGTATTTTCTGAAATTAATTCATTTTGTTTTAATATTCTGTAATATTATTGCGCATATTTAGAACACTATGTTTCTAAATATGCGCATGTTTATTTGATTAATAGAAAACAATAGTCACTTTGGTATTTGCCTGTTCCTCATCCTCAATTTTAAAGCGCACAGGTATCGTCTAAAAAAGGGTATGATCTGTCATCTTGTCTCTTTTTTAGAAGATTTATAAGGATATATGTATTGATCAATTCAATATGGTCAGAGCGACCGGTACTAGAGTTATGAACACTTCATAGACTATATAATGTAAAATAATTTAAACAGATGTAATTTTTCAGAGACTAGACTAGCGTTCAAACAAATAAGTCTTCATATATAGTAATAGAAATTATAATTATTATAACATTAACCCTGGACAATTCACTCAACGCCATCTAGTCCAAATATAAGTATAATATACCTACGTAGAAAATACCCACCAATACTGATTGCATAAATACAAAACAAATGTTTGTACCGTGCTAGGAATTGAACCCTGGACCATCGGAATTAAAGCGGTGTGCAGTGTACCAGACGACATTTCAGCCTTTGGTAAAAATTTGAGATGAATATAAGTAAATGACGTTACTGAATATATTTACTAACATGGAAGCCCTGGATTGCGAAGGTGATGAGCCGTTGTCGTTTGCTCTCTAAAGCAATCTGTAGAGGCTGCAGGCACGACCGTCGCAGCTCGTATGATGAGCGACGCACGCTGCTCTCTTGCATACATAATACTTCTGAAAGTTACATTTTACTTGAAGAGTGTATCCATGTAATAAAATTATGATCTAGGTATTCTTCAGGCGTTCTATTTCAATTCGGAGAACATCCGTCTCCCCTCACCCAAGCGCGATAGCAATACTGTCAATTAAAACATCGCGCCATTAATATTTACGGCTTACAAAATAAATATGAAGGTATTTTTTTAAGTAATCTAAAAATTCATCAATTATTCCAATGTCTTACACATGTTTTCAAATTTTTATTCGGTCTTGATCGAATCAGCTAATACATAAATACAATACGATCGACTTTTTCAGTTACGTGTAATTGTAAAAGAAACTTGTTCAAAGAAACTTTGACTAGTACGAAAAAGTCGATATTAGTTGCCTTTCTTTCTTTCTTTCTTATCATATGGACATGGATTTCATAGAGTTTAATTAGTAATTGTAAACAATTTTCATAGCAGCGCGTTTTGTATGGAGATGGTCAGGCACGTGCAGCCTTAAGCCTAATATTTTTTTTTATTTTCGAATTCGAATCGTAACAAGTATCATCAAATTTATACAATTCATTGGTAAGCAATGATTACTAAGGTAATGGTTACTGTTTACCATCGACCGGGTTGTCAGCTTGTTTATCATTCCAATTACTTAAAAAAATATGTTATGGATGATATCCCTCGTGCATGGACATTCCTGAGGACTATAGAGTCATGCCTGGTCTCCTTATTCTGTTAAATGATTGTAATATTCCATGAACACCGGAAGACAGAAAGCAAGCCTTGTTAGGGTTGAATGAGTAAAACAGAGATACTAATACAGGTAAGTAAATGTACAGATTCTATTTTATTTTATATAGTGAGAACAGCAAATAAGTGACCTACGTGGTAAGTGGTAACCGTCGTCTATATACATGATCAGCAACTACGGAGTACGAAGATCATTTTATAACATGATAACCGCGATGCCACTTATGTGTTACCATTTCATAGGATTAAGATTTCATTCTTCTTATCCTGTAATTTCACTGCCTAATATACACCTCATGTACAAACGAAACACAACTTAGGTACAAAGCAAGTGTTTGTAGACTGAAATAAGTGAGATTTGATTTAATACATGTTGAGATATTGATATATCTAGGTAACTTTGTCCCATAAGACAGACGACTTTTTATAGTCTACTTCAATAAAAAATAACAACAAGTGCCCGTCCAAAGGCTACGATAACCGTTTACCGTTTCAGAGGGGCTATATGCCTCTATAGTGCTACGACGGTAAAAGAAAACTAGTAAAACACCTCCTCTTAATTTATTTGTATTAAACGTGTCTAGAATAATTCAACCCGTGGAAGGGTTGAATTATTCTAGACACATTAAATTAATTAAAAAAAACTTATGATATTCGTTTATAATGATGTTTTTATAAAGTGTTGTTTTATAATTCGATAAAGTGATTGCGTGAGTTTATTTGTTTTTATCTGTTACAAACAAAAAACCAAATCCCTCTTCTTTACAGTGTCGGTTTACATAATTTAGTTAGTATATTTAATCACAGAATGTCCACTATTCTTGAATTTAATATAAGTGCGCAATACCTTCATGAATTTTTCAGAAGATAACACAGTATCGTTACAATGACTTCTCAGTGATAATAATCATGTTTCTTCTGTTTTAAATATTATTGTTGTTAGATAAATATGTTCAGAACACGAATAACGCAAGTTTAAATACGAACAATTAGCATTGCGCACAAATATTTATCGATGTCTACCGAATGTGTTTAACTCACAAACCTAAACAAAGCGTGTATAGATACGCTATTACTTGGATATTCATAGATCTGACAAAAAATATTACGTAGATATCTTCCTATTGTATCATTGTATATTGTACACAAGTACATATATCAGTATGTATAAATACGTACCGAGGGCATCTTGGCATGATTTTCTTAGAGTTGACAATTTCGGTCCTGTTGCTTCCTTGAAAATGTCTTGCAATAATTCCTCCATCATTGCCGGATCCCGGCTATGTAGCTCACTTCACCATAAATACAGATTTCTTTGTTATATCAATATTACAGGGACAAAAACGATTTTGCGTTCAGCTCTACAAAATCAAGTGGGTGTTGAACGTTACGTTATCAGTTGACGACACTCGCAGCGGAGCATGCTCAGTTAGAAAATCAATACGACTGTAAACTTATACATTTTTTTGTAAAACAAGCAACAGGTGCCGTAGTATGTTGTGTGTAAATAAAATAAATAAATGATAAAATTTGTATAAATTACTTAATAAAACAAAATTTTATTTAACTTTTAAATCAAGTACTATGATGATAAAAATAATTTATCATGATAATTAATTTATAATTTTTAATATAATATATTATAACACTCTCGTCTTGCAAACTTAATACATGATTTATGTTTTGAATATATTTTTTTCTGTCTTTTAGGATTTATACGCATGAAATTAAAATTCGCGCCACGATCGCGTCGGGCAGCGTGAGATTTTTTTTACTACTGGCAATGCTATATTTCCAGATTACACACAACTAGGTACTTAATTACAAATAACGTTGTAATTAATTCTACACTTCTGCAAAATGGTAACTTATTAGTATCTGCTAAACCGGATTAGGATGTTAATAAGATGTTTTACAAAACAATTTCCATATGAATATTATGTTCATGAATAATGAAGTCCTCTACTGAGGGCATATGCTTGCAAAGTACTTATGGGTAGTACATATTTATAATTTTCATCAAGAAAACATGTACAAATTGAAATGTGTGTCGTGTTTGAAACATGTTTAACTTCTTGGTAAAAATGGTTTATAGGGACAATTTTGACAATAGTTGGTAACATTTTTTTACAATTGTCAAATAGTTGTCATAATAAAAATGGTGTCCTGGAGTGCTCTGGGTCGATCTTTCGGTGTAAATCTCTTCAAAAACAACATCAAAACACCATGTAGTATTCAAAATGTAGCTTTTTCAACAAACAAAGCGCTATGCGCTGGTCACCATAAAACGTTTGCTATGCAACCATCCAGGTACCGACTCCCTTGCATCGATTACCTAACCACTTTTTTTGATAAATAATGCTTTTTATTAACATAATCTTACGTTAGAATCTCTAGAAATATGTTTTAAAATTATAGCATTATTAATAATATGATATTTATTAGTTTTTATATAGTCTTACATTTCTAACCTCTGTTATTATTGCAGATTTCAATGGCACAAATTCAAGGATATGTTTCACTACTATGTCATGGTAGGGTTGATTCCTGTCAGTTTGATACTCTTCTATAGCAATATCTTCATTGGGCCTGCTCAATTGACGCCAATCCCAGAAGATTACAATCCTAAGCATTGGGAGTACCATCGTCATCCAGTTACAAGATTTATTGCTCGATATGTTCATAACAACCCCCAGCAGGTACGTTTTAATGTAGCTAATGGTCTGAAATTCTGTCAGTAAAGCTAATATGGAATATAAAAATTACAAATTAAAACAATATTAGGTTTTGATAATGTATATATGTGGTATAGTTGTCCAGGATGAACAGACAGATAAACTCCTAGATATTCTCATATAATGTATTTTAATAATTTAAATACACAGATAGTTAGTCAGATATTATTTTTTTGATTTGAGTGTAGTGTTATAAATATTTCTAATAAAAATGTACTCCAGCATAATTTTATATGGTTGGATTAACAGTTATGTTGTGCATACTCCTCATGGAATATTTTTTTTAACAAAATAATTTTAATAATAATATATATAAAAGCATTACCACAATACTGGATGTGGTAAACTCGAAGGGACAGACAATGAAAGCAATCAAATCTGATAAATGCTAATTGTTCTTCCAATTATTGATTACTGTTCCATTAATTTTATGTCAACTAAATTAAATTATATGATCTTAGATTATAAAAATTAGCGCATATTAAAAAAAATATTTTTTAGATTTTTATTTATTTCCACAGCCAGCAGTTAATCCTGCCCTTGTTATTTTCTTCTAATCATAATAGTTTCATTTCATTACAATTTTTTTTAACATTCTATGTTATTCTGCACCATTTATAATATATATTACAATTAAATAGTATTTAAGCCAGTAATTATGATGATATGCTGGATGTATTTCAAGACATCTTTTTTTACAGGAATATGAAAAGTTTATGCATTTCATTGATGAAGAAGCTCAAAAGATAAAGCTGCGTGCTTTGGAGAAACAGATTATAAAGAAAATGGGTGAACGTCAGGATTATCAGGCATACTACTATATGCCAATGGTGAATAAATATATGCGCATTGAGAAGAAGACTGGAGAAGAATTGTTAGAGCGCGCTGGTGATAACTTCAAAGAATAGACGAATTTCAAAATGCCTTTATGCCATTGGCATTTGTTTATATTTAGTAATCAAGTGAATTGTTACACATTTCAATGTAGATAATAAATCTAATTGTTGCATACCAATTGATTTTTTAACATAAATAATTTACATCCTGAAGACAGCAGTGAGTAATTTAAAATTATTTGTTATAAATAATGGACAATTCACACGTCTTTTAGTCTCATAGTTTGTGGTATGGGTATTAGCACAGATAAGATAATATTACATAGAATTAGACAACCTTATATAAATACTTAGATTTATATCAGTTGTATAATACTTTTTTTTGTAAATACAATACATAGAATACACACTAGGGTTCATGATTTCTCGAGCTTTTCAATTTCTCGGGTCTTCTCGGGTTGTCGAGAAATTTACATTTACGTACGTTTTCTCATATTATTTGGTTCCAATAACTCAAAAAATTCAGTGGTTTTCCTCTCAAATAAAACTTTTATTGAGTATATTTAAAAACATTAATATTATGAATAAATTAATTTTTTTTTAAATAGAGAAATACTATTAGGTCCTTACATATGAAATTGGCGTTTTGTCGTACTGGCCACTTGGATCTCAAATATCTCCTCTTTGGTTAGGAATTCCATTTCCAAATTTATACAGCTATTCACTTTAGGTCACTCACAGCATACAAAATGAAAAAACTTAAAATATCGCTTTATTTACGAGTACGAGTTCCGCCATGGCACCAGTGCTACACGGTGCTAAACGGCTCGAAGTATTAATGATGTGTACGGCAGTGGTCTCGTGAAAGAAAACACGTGCCTTTTTGGTTCCAACGTTTTCGTTCTGGAAATTTCGACCTGCAAAGCAATCTCTGTGGGCGACCGGAATCCAAGGTTGATAATGAAGAATTGAAGGCTATTGTGGAAGCGAATCCATCGCAAACCCGTCCGAGTTAGCTGTTGGCTGCGGTGTTAGTGACAAAACTGTTTTAATCCTTTAGCAAATTGGGAAGGTGAAAAAGCTTGAAAAGTGGGTCCCTCATGAATTCAATGGAGTGAATCGACAAACGCGCGTAGCCTGCTGCGTTACATTAATCAACCGGCATAATAATGAAGGGATTTCAAATCAAATCATTTTCTGTGATGGACAGTGGATCTCGTACGATAATCAGAAACGCTCATTGCAATGGCATTGCAATTGCAAAACCCTGGCGAACCAACCAAATCCTGCCCCAAGCGAAAATTGGCTCAAAAAATGTTACTTGTGAACGTTTGGTGGACTATTTCCGGTGTTGTTCACTTCGGCTTTCTTAAATCTGGCCAGATGATTACTGCAAATGTGTATTGTCAGCAATTGAGAAATCATAATGGAAAAGCTAGCTGCTAAACAACCAAGGCTGGTGAATCGCCAAGAACAATTGACCACATACTGCACAACAGACAGTTACCAAATTAGAAGAGCTTCAATTGGAATGTCTAAGACAACCACCGTACTTCCCGGACCTTGCTCCAACAGATTACCATTTTTTTCGAAATTTGGATAACTTCTTGCAAGGGAAAAAATTAAACTCCGATGGGGCAGTCCAAAGTGCAAAAACAAAATGCAAAAGTGCATAAAAAGAAATGTTTTTAAAATTTATTAAAAAATTCATAGAAATACTTTGCTTAAATTAATATATTATATTTTGAAAACAAATTAAAACAATATTAGGTTTTGATAATGTATATATGTGGTATAGTTGTCCAGGATGAACAAATACTTCAGGTTCCCCTTTTTCTAAAAAATACTTCAGGTTCATTCCCTTACAAAACGCCAATTTCAATTTTTTAGGACCTAATTATTCAGACTTATATTTATAACTAGCTGTACCCGCGACTTCGTCCGCGTGGAATTATACTTCATTTTTTTACAATAAAATAATGTTTCTAAAATATAAGTAGCCTAAGTTACTCCCTATTACATCAAATACTGCCAAAAAAAGTCCCGTTAAAATCGGTTCAGCCGTTTCATAGATTAGCCGGAACAAATAGATCGATAGACAGACAGACAAAAATTTTAAAAAGTAGTTTTTTGGTGTATTTTCCGTATTTATATTCACATGCATGCAGTAAAAACCGGTTATTACAAACATACTCTCCAATTTTATTTATATGTATAGACGACAGCACCATTTTTGGCTGCTTATTTAAAAAAAAACAACGTAATCAAAAATAGTTTCTACAAAATAAAAAAATAACATGAAAGAAAACAAAAACGTTAATCTCTTAAATTATTGCGCCGCCACGCAACAAAATAAAGGGCAATTTAATTTCTATATAGGTATATGATTTCTCGAGTTCTCGACTTTTCTCGAGCTTGATTTCCCGGGAACAAAACCCATGAATTTCCCGGGAATTCTCGAACCGAGAATTCCCGGGAATGAACCCTAATACACACAGACTGATACATATAATCATATTAATGATTGACGGCCTCTGTGGTCTAGCGGTCTAGCACACCGTTTTACGACTGATGGTCGCGGGTTCGATTCCTCGCAATGCACAAACATTTGTATTCATGAGTATGATTGTTTGTATCAGTCTGGGTGTTTTCTATGTATAATATGTATGTATTTACGAAAAAAAAATTATCTATGTATTTGTATCAGTTGTCTAGTACCCATAACACAAGCTTTAGCTAGCTTAACTTGGGTCTAGATGGCGCTGTGTGAATTGTCCTGAGGTTATTATTATTATTATAATGAATACAAATGTTTGTACTGTGCGAGGAATCGAACTCGCGACTGTCAGAAGTAAAGCGCTGTGCTAAACCCCTAGATCACTAGGTTTATTGAATACCTTTCTTTATCTATCTTCGCATTTATATATTTTTATTATTTCCTTAATTATTTCTATTGCATCGTTGTAAATTTTTGTGGAAGTTTGAAGAAATAAAAGAATAGGGCTATGGTAACATTGTTATTTAATTTACAGGAAATTCTAACGATTGACAATAATAAATTCCGACATGTGGTGGAACTCTAACAAAATTAATGTCAACACTTAACTATCTGTATGCTGATATGATTCTACATTATATTTCGGTTAAAATATGATTTATAATCATCAATGCTTTGATTTGTATCAAGTCAGATATACAGAACCTTTGCACTTAGATCTTAAAAACAATTTTTCTGTAGTTAATGAATTTAAAAAGACAACTTTATATATGAAATTTATGTCACACAACGATTAAATTATTATAGCCATGTGCTTTATATCAGAATATATATATATTTATAAAATTTAATCAATACAGCCACTGAATCGTATAAAAATGTATTTTAAGTAAGTACACTTTCTGATTGGTAAAAATGTCTTGTTCATAATAATTATTCGGCATATTTATTGCTTCATATAATTTTAATTATATTATCTTGTTACCCATAATGATCAACATCTATATTCATTGATATATTATGAAGTATTAGAGAAGACATACAAATAATGGGCTATAACGCAATAAACGACGAAATTACAGTTTACTGACTGTTTAAATTGGGTATTTACACTATGTATTAATCTCTGGATATCAATAAGTTACTATAGTAATGTATACATTTGGAGATAATTTTGTCAACAAAATACATGAATACACTAGCGAGCATTTAGTAATGACAATGGATGAAATGCGGCGAAAAACATATAATATAATTATATCGACTAGAGCCACTATAGATTTGGGCAACATTTGCCAGTGTAGTGTGCTCTGGTAATATAACACATAATGTTTCAATGAGATTTTTTTTATAATTTGGACGTAAATTTATCACATGGTTATAAGACGTATATCGTCTTAAAAATTACTGTAATAAAATTTCAGATTTTAAAATAATGGGTAATAAAAGATTATTTAATACAATGTAGGGTCATGACATTAATAATTTGCGGCTCCTCCTACAGGCACTATCAGTAATATTTTCTCGAATGAAAACAATAAATTACAGTAATACTTTTTTTTTCATAATATTCCTTTTTATGTCTGCGAGTGTCCTGCTAAGTGCAGTTCTTTTTTGTTTTATTTTATAACTTAACATATATACGTACAGATATAAAGCATACGCAATATATAAAAAGTAATTAGAAATTAACGTTTAGTGACTTAGTAAAGAGATTTTAGGTATATGTGCCTAGCGTGGCACGGATATTTCATTAATTTCATTAAACTGCACCGAATTATACACCAATGTATTACACACAAATGAATGTATAGCCTAAGAGAATGCGGTCAGTTCTTTTTAAAATTATAAGGAACCATCCGGGGATTTTATACCTATGTATAGAATAATAGGTATAAAAAAATGTAAACAATTAACCATTATTCGTCCATTCGTAATATAATAAAATGAATATGTTTGAATAGGTAGTATTAAATGCAAAGAAAAATAGTAGTCAAGATTTAATTAACGATAGATCTTATGTAATGCAAATAAAAATGTAGCATTTATGCTAATATCTTATACCTACTTGCAAGTAGATGCATTATAAACAACACTTATTACCATAGGTAATAATGTTACTGTGTCTATTGACCATTATGGAAAACAATGATTATGAGTTTATATATCATAAAATAAGGCAATAAATTATTAGAGCTATAGTAGAACTGGTTGAACCATTATGTACTATATAATCCGACTTATGTCAATGTACTTAATAATTAAACGTCTCTTTATAAAAGTAAAAGGTTCTTTATATTATTTGAATAACAAGCTGAGTATAACTTGTGATATTGCTCATAAAATTGCCGTGTTAACAATAACAAAGAATCAATTATGTATTGGGTATATAATATTAAATGGTATATAGGTAATATTAAAAATGGTTAAAGAAAGATTCCAATAATTCTTATAATAAAAGCAACATTTTACAAACTGAAACATGATAATTATCTGCCATGTTACCCCTCTGATCCATCCCCCGTCCAATGCAAGCGGGGATCGAAATTACGACGGCCTGAGCAGAGGTTCCAACCACTAGCGGTGCCCTCAGACTAAAATTGTATCCGTCAGGCAGAGTTCGTCTTTAGCAGCTACATAAGTCCTTCCGCGGTCTTAGAGTGCCATCTACACTCGTCCTCTATCGTCCGGTGAAGCTGTTAATCGCCAGCCGAAGCCAAAAGCATTAGAGTAGTCCGAAAAAACTTTAATGTTCAGTGGTATTCTTTACGTCACACCTAACACTTTAATTAACGGCCTTCCCTGGCAAATAGTGGACATGGTGATAACGATCAATCTGCACGCTTTTATGCATGTAATTAATTTATTTGATAATATTTTTAAATTTGATTAATGTAAAATTAAACTGCATATTTTTAGTTACATTTTTTACTATAAGAGTAAATCTATAAGTACAATTCAGAATAGTAATCAAAGTTAATAATCATGCCTATGGTACGGGTACAAATTAAATTAAAACTATTGCAGACCGTCACCAGCTCTCGTGCTATCTACGATATTTCGTATCTTCATATTTCTTTATTTGTTTTTATTTTGTAATTGCCGGGTATAGAATAAGTATTTAAAAATGTCATACAAAAAATTCTACCTATACAAATGTATAGGTAGAATATTTCACGAATGGAAGACGTAACAATAGAGGAAAAATATTATATTTTGAAATACTATTATAAGAATCTTAAAAAGGTTTGTTTATTTTATATGGTAGCAATTATGCCTATAACGTCTAAAAGGTAAAAAGTCATACAAATATTCTACCTATACATACGTATAGGCAGAATATTTGTATGACTAAGTCATACCTATACACATGTACCTATACTTTTTTAAGATTCTTGTAATAGTATTTCAAAATTAAATAATTTTCCTCTGTTGTTACGTCTTCCATTCGTCCTAACGCCTAGTAAGGTCATACGTATAAATAAGTAAGCGGAAAAATGTTACGAGAAGGTACATCACATTTTTGTTACAATTACATACTGTTTTGACGTAAATAGTTTTAATTTCTTTGTACCTACTTATGTTCGGTGTCCTCTACCTTTGATTTAAGATTTGAATAAAATAATTCCCTTAAATTCTTAATCACCATTATCGTGTTTAGGCAGTTTCGGGCCATTAGTAAACCAAGACTATTTTGCTACTTTAGTACAGTTAATCACAGTAGATGTTTAATTCCACAGCAGTAACCATTTTTTACAGCTAACAATCGTACTTCTCCTTAGCTACGATTTTTCATAGTATAATAATGTATTAGCATGTCATACAGTCCAGTGTTGAAATATTTCAAATTATTGGTATTAAACGGCATCTTTTTTCTATACGGGCTACAATAATTACATTAGTATTAAGAAAATAATTCTTAACTTATACTAATAAAAGCTTTATCTACCGATAAACTAAGATTGACAAAATTAGTATCTACGTAATAAATAAATTCTTTGGCGGTGCTGGAATGCACAAAGCTCTTAACTTTAATGTTAAATAATTAAATTACAAAACGATATGATTTCATTATCCCATTCTTTCAGTCTTCACAGTTTGTAGAGTTCCAACTATGATCCAACAACTATGTATTTAGATTGCTTTTCATATTAACATTTTTCGACATTAAAACTATGTACAACAATCCTAATATAAATAACAATTTCAAGAGGAAATTGCAACTAAGCTAAACGAGATCAAAATAATTGATATAAATTAGTATCAAAGCATGAACAGAATATTATTCAATTGAAGTAAAAAAATACTTTTTAACATTTTATTGTAATTAATAGTTATGTATGGACTACGATAGACTTGCTAAGTATACGCTAATAAAATTGTTTTTACTTTTCTTCAATAATAACAATTTCGAATCTAATTTTAAGACGGCTACGAGTTTCTACAATGTAAAAATTTAAACGCATCTTTATTTGTTTTTTTCTTTTTCTGCTTGCGCTGCGAGCTTCGCTTCCTTTTTCGCTTTTTTCTTTTCCTCTTTTGCTAATAATTTGGCTTGCCTTTCTTCTTCTTTCGCTAGGAGTTTTGCTTGTCTTTCTTCTTCTTTTGCTAGCTGTTTGGCTTCCTTCTTCGCTTCTTTTTCGGCTTTAAGTCTTAATTTTTCCTCCTTCTTTTTCTCAGCTATTTCATTCTTTCTGTTGTCACTACTTTCATCTTTTTTGCTTTTATCCTCTTGCTTTGTGTTTTCATCGTCTTTCTTCTTTTTATCCTCTTTCTTGGGTTTTGTTTTGGGGTTATCTTTTTTCCGTTCAGTCTCTTTGCTTTGATCTCTAGACTTGGGTGGATCATCTTTATTCGATGGTTTTAGAGGCCGAAAGAAATGTTGTTTATTTTTTTGTGGGGATGTTTCTAGTTGCGTTACAATCTTTTGTGCACATCTGCAAATAAATTAATTTGTTTATTGCATACTTATCTATTACTCTGACTAGTCTAATGCTAGATTGCATTACTAGGTGTTAGGCGAATATTGATACTTTTTGAATATTTAATATTTCAATGAATAATTCATAATTAGGTAATGCCAATGTTTCGATTGGGAATTGCGTCTATATCGATGAATCTGTTTTCATGATTGTTTTTATTCGCTTGGTTATGGATATTAAATTTAGTGTTAGGTAATATTTGGTTTAGAGAAGAGAAATGTAAACTATTTCTAATAAACAGGATTTTGTTTTTTAATCCTTATCTATCCTAATACCTTATCCTAGTAGAGGAGGAGGCTGTGGCAGCGCTTTCTCGTCGTCCTTCGCGGAATTCTCTTTGAAACTCTCTGATGGGCGGCAGCCGCCCTGAGGGCTCCCCTGCTGGCCCTCCCGTATAACTGTGTACTTGATACTCTTGTAGCCTCGCCTGAAAAGTGTTGTATACATTTATATTATGAGTATAGCTACGAGTCGGTACAAATCAGGTCCATTATCAAAATGTTGCCAAATTATATAAATAAAATCTAAGCTTAAAACTTATTGCTCCTCTTAAACAAAGGTCACTAGATAAGTTCTGCAATATAATATCTTTGTTTCAAGATGAGAATAATTTTATTAGCAAGAGAGGCTTATTATACGACGGTACATACATAATTTTCCAGTGAAGGCGAATTCATCATAAATTAACATCGATTATTTACAGAAGGGATGAGCGTGGAGACATTTCACATGGTAAATTGCTAGCAATATTAACCCTACCCTTTCTGTCGGTTATGGAATTCAGTATATCTTATGAGTTTTACCTTCATGCTATGATGCTGGGATCGTCGCAAAGAATTGGAGGCAGGTTGCCGCGGCCGGGGCGGCGTCGTGGATGCGGTCGCCCGCGGCACAGCACCAAGGCACGCTCCCCCGCATTTCGCTCCTCCACATAGCTTTGTTGAACACCCATTTATCACATTACCACCGCTATTTGATGACACGGAAGACACTCCTGGAATACCAAATTTTTAAGATAAAATGTTAAGGTAATATTTGCCAGTGCTACAATTAATAGCCTTGGATAAAATCATTATCCTGTTTCATGAGTGGAATAACAAATTTAACCAACAAAATATCTTTGGTACCGGATGTGAGATGTTTTCATGTATCAGTCATGAATAGTTATATTGTATGTTTATTTCTTAACATTATAATGCCCTATATATTAGATAATAATTCTTTTGATAAACGTTTAATATGCAAGCATATACAGAATTTATACGGAACATTTATCTATGTAGTCGTTTTATATATCTTTACGTGCCACTTTGTGAGGTTATAATATATATAATTATATTAACTTTATTGTAATATATATATATATATATTACATATGTATATAGGTCTGGAAAATGCCGTATTTAATTATTAATGTATCCAAACTGATTGATAATAAGATCCGGGTTTCTTTATTTAATTAAATCATCATTAATAAAGGAATTTTCTTGCAACTAATTAATTTTGATATCACACAACGTCCTTATGTGACATCAATATTAATTACTTGCAACTGAAATTAATTGTGATAATTCAGAGATGAAACAGGTTTTATTAAGTACAGTTTGAAGGTCTGTGCGATTACGGTAATATACCTATGTAAGTGGTACATTCTGCAAACCGAATTTATTATTGTATTATTACCTATAGGTATTCCAAAATTTAAATGGAGATTAGGTATCTGACAATTTTACATATCTTTGAACATGGAGTAGGTTGTGAATGATTCAAACAAACCGAATGCTAGACAACGAATGTTAATTAAGAAATAATTAAGTTACTTTCAAAGTACTTACTAATACATTACAAAATACCGGTCTTTGTCTGCTTGAGATAGTTTGTGATGTTCGTTTCATAGTGTCATAGCTCAAATGTATGGGTATATTCACACATTGATTTATACCTGTCCATTAGACATGCACAAATCACTGTTCAAATCTAGTATTTACGCCACTTACCACGAGGGCGCTAATATATAAATAATATATCGTCATATTCACTATTTGACGAAATGTAATTTTTCAGTTGATCACAGTTTTTATAAGAATGTTGTAAGTGGGGTCTAGAAATTTTGATATAAACCTAGCTTAACTTTTATATGTCATTACAAAATATTTTAATTTCTATACTTTGAATAGTTCTTTTTTATTTTACTTCATGGCGTATAATTCAAAATATGTAACATTATCTTATCTGTGTTATCTAAAGTAATGCAAAATATTTTTTCCTTCCTTAATTTATAGGTACTCGTAGGTATCATGTACCTACTTCCACTTACTGTTTCTACGTATTTTGTTGTTTTAAGGTCTATACAGAAGATTGTTTTCAATGTTTTCGCCATTAAATGGAATACTTAATACTGCTTCCGACTAAATGTAATATATTTATTATTTGGATTTTGGTACATACTCGAAAGAAAATATTGTTATTTATTTCTTGAATTATACATATTTTGTACTATATTCCGTAATTAGATATAGTTCTTATTTACATTATATCATACAATGTAATAAACAAGGGTCTAAAATCTGACTATCTGTAGATACTATAATATATTTACTTATAGATGATGTCCTTTAGGTATTCTATACATATGTATAATATATTTTACAAGAACAAACAAAGCTACATCGCAACACTACATTCAACGTTTCATATTTAAAATTATTAGGTACTTTTTTATTTTTAATTAACGTCTAATGGTAATAGAGATCGCAAACATAAATTATATTGATATTTTACCAGATAGGGAAGACTCTCCACTTGTGACGGAATATAGTGAAGCAGAAGCAGGCACGGAGCGGGCTCCCACTGAGTAGCTCGACACTGATCCAGGCACACACCACGACTTCCCGCTGCCACTCGATACCTAATTATTTCAAGCAATACATTTCAATGTCTTATAAAAATTTACGTCCTTAGAATGTTACATCGAACAATACTCATCGAACATCTAATCTCAATCCAACAAGATTTGTTTCCCTGAACTGATGTTGTCGAAAATTTGCTATATCTAATAGTATTCCTGTTGTAATATGTCTTGTAACTTTATGTAGCCGAGATAGCTGCGAGATAGGTGAAATGTCGGATCGAGTGCTCTCATTGCAGTAGTTTGTTGAACAATTTGAAAACTATGCTCATATGCTATATCTGCTAAACACAAAGTTCAATAACTTTTAACTAGCAAATTAGAGTAGTTTTTTATACTAAGGTGATATTGCTTTTAAAGTTTAATGATTCTAAATCCAGCATAGATCGATCCAGCGATCCACCTGTAGTCCATAAGAGTTTAAATAAGGTTCTTGAAAGATTTAAAGTACCAACTTATACATTATTATTTTAAATTTAATTTTAGTGCGAAAGTTGGGCAGTATTGCACGCGGATGGCCGTGGGCGAATTATAATTATTCGGTCGGTCAACAGCACGGTTTCTTTTTTTAGATATTTTGTTTATTTATAGACCGAATTTATTTTCTTATACCTTGTGGTCCTTGCTAAAATAAATAAAAACAAGTTTGGGAACCAATTCATTGGATCAGACAATTCTGAAAAGGCATATGGCATCACATTTTTTATATATTACTACTTAATAGTAGTAATATATAACTTTCACGACAATAGTATCGATTTCTTCAGTTTGGATATAAGGTAGGTAATGACCAGAGTTGTGAACCCTATTATTCTTGTATGAAGAAGTATATAATATCATAATATATTGCCTGAATTTGGTTATAAAAAAAACTCTACAGTAAAAAATATTCATAAATTGCCTTCATAATCTAGTACATAATTGTTTACAATTAATTACGTAATTCTTTAAATTTCTTTAATAATTGGTAATGGCATTAATATAGTTAAAACGGGTTTTAGGACGCATAATTTTATGGTAAATATAGGTGTTTACCTCTCGATGTTTCGTGTAGGTTGCACTAACCGTGGTCACTGGAGTAACAGCAAATAATGGCAATGGAATGGAAATGCATTTTTAAACGAACCTGCCAACTTTTGCTGGTAACAAGACGAGGCGCCTGCCGTAGCCTCAATATCTTGGCGCGGCAGATCACGCAGCGTAGCGGTAGCAGTCGCTGGCTAACCGCCATCTGTATGGTCTTCACGAAGCACCGACGGCAAACCACTCGGTGGCCGCAGGGCGAAGTTTGCATCGTTGCTTTTGCGTTGACACATATTACGCACTGAAAATAATATAGATAGGTCGGAAAGTATGCAATAGTTATAGGCGTCCTCAGGGGTCTGACGTTAGGATAGTCGCGGGTTCGAATCCTCACATATTTTATAATAATGATTTTGTATCCTCTATGATGACGACACGAGTAATTATTCTTTGTTATATTACTTAGTATTTATAGTATATTATTACTATATACATAATATTTACCTAAATTATGCTGCATATCTTACTTATATTATAAAACGCGAATATTTGTGAGTATGGATGGATGGATTTTTGTGACTCTTTTATGTAAATGCATTTTAAAGAAACTTTAAAATAATATAGCTTAAACATCAGAATAACACATAGGTTTTAAAATTCACGTGGGTGAAAATGCGGGCACAGCTAGAGTCGTCGTCTCAGTATCATTAATTATGTAAAACATTTTAAACAATCAAGTAATATAAACAAAAATTTGATTGTTATTAAAATAATAAATAATAGTATAATTAGGCAAAGATTATCAATTTGATTTTAATTGAAGGTAAACGGAATTAATTACCATAAAATCTCATTCAAGAAGTAGAGGCGTACCCAATTTGCGTTCAACAATAAATTATTTAGTAATTCGCAAACTATTGTCTGTTACAAATGACAAGAAAATATCTCATTGAAACTTGCAAGGTGAAAATAATAAATACCTATACAAATGTAGGTATTACATGCTTCCACATAGGTCCATAGGTAGATAGGTTACATACGTGGATATTTGTTTTGGTCTAATTAGTGTCCCATTTTAGATAGAAGTAAGATCCTGATATAAAGTCTTAATATAAGCCTGTAGTGGTAATATAAGACTAACATGAATGAAATTGATAAACAGTAAAGTTTTGTATGTTTGTAACTAATAAACTCAAAAATTACTAGACTGATTTCAAAAATTCTTTCACTATCAGAATATTATATAAAACTCCACTAATGTAATCTAAGGTGTAAACATATCTGGCTGACTCGATGGTCAAGTGGATTAGCACATCGCCTACTTTCGATGGTCGCTTTGATTCGCGGGTTCGATTCCTTGCACATCATTTATGAGTACGATTGTTTGTATCGGTCGGGGTGTTTTATATGTATTAAAAATACATACACATGCATGTATTAAAAAAAACTAAGTATTTTTATCAGTTATCTAGTACCCATAACACAAGCTCTGCTTACCGTGGGACTAGATAGCTCGGTGTAAATTGTCCAGGGTTCTGTATTTATATACCTCTAATTAAGGTTGATTTAGTAGTTGTATTACGATACTTACTTCTTCTTCGGGTGAAGTGGCAAGCTCTGGCTCATTCTCTTCCAGTTTATTGAGCAATTTGTCCTGAAACAAAACAGGTAGTTTATTAAGTTTGTGTTAGGTTTAAATATAATATACTTGTCATTCTAAAAATATCTATCCAACTAGCTGTTTACAACGTCGTCGCCCCAGTAACATGTTATTTATTGTTCCCGTGGGAGTTTCGAGAATTCCTTAGAGATATTAAATTATCAAATATTTAGACGTGTAGATTTTTAAGCCCCGTATATGCGATTTTTTATCGCTAACCTAGTTCATAAGTGAATTGTAAAATGATAATATTGGTCAATTTTTTTCTTTTTATATATTTGAAATTTACAGTTACAATTAGTGATTGTGAGTTTATAGATACAATTATATGTAACTAATTAGAGATTGTAATTATTGTATATCGTATTTATCAAGATGATGTCAGGTTAAAATAAACTCTTGATATTTTCACATACTTTGCTTTGTTTCTGTTGTTATAGTAAATAAAAGTATGTCCTGTTTTATGCGATACTTGAAATTACAGATTATACTCGTAACTTGTTTCAATACTAACTTGACATATCTACTACACTTTACACACACATGCATCCATATCCCAGAACAGGTTATTAGGTATGCTTGGAATATAATTTCAAAAGTGACTGGATAACTCAATTGTTGTGTTATTATATGCTCGCCGGTCTTGAACTTTATGATAATTATCATGAACAAGTGGCGAGCACTTGACTTTGACCTGCCTCCCATACACAAGTCAAATCTCATCAGTCTAAATATGGTGTTACTACTACAGATATCAATTGTATGTAAATATTTATGATATTCTGCATTTATTTCATTCACCCATTAGTATAAAAATGTCTGTATTTATTTGTATGTGTGCTTAGTTCTTATAAATTTCATAGATTTTGATATGATTTTTTGTTCCTTTAAAATGTATATACATATCTAACGGTCTACTAAATCTTTTGTGTTGTTAGGCTTTCTATGTAAGCTTGTGCTTAGAGCTTTAGCTTAGCTTAAAGACATTACAAAATTATATTGTGAGGTCCATGATGCTTGCTATAAATGTTAATATGCAATTCTTACCGTTCATGTTTTGCAGAACATAAATAAAATACATTAAAAATAGTAAGGCCGAAAACCAGGCACATGTGATCTTGGAAAATAAAAGATTGCGAAAGTAATCGAATTGTTTTTTCATCCATGCAAAGTTGAAGCAGGTTGCTAGTGATATTTAAGCGTTACTGTCTCCTTAATAAAGTAGTCAATCACTTAATTTTTGTAGCGAAATCGATTCGACAGAGTACAAATTTTGTGTTACCGAATAAATTGTGTAAATTTTACTATCATTTGCGCGGCTATAGTTTCATTTCTTTAGAGTTAGTTGGGTAATGGCTTCAGATTGTGGACGGGGGCGAGTCCGGTGCTAAGTGTTAACCAGTCGTCGTACGTAACGGAAAAGGTTAAGTCAAGGTAGCCGAGAAAAATACACATCCTTTATATACGAGATTTCCGTGTACCGTTTCAGTTATCTAAGTAATATGTTCTACGCGAGGTTGTATATTAAATTCGCGGTATAAAACGAGTTGCGGTTATTGTGCCGGTTGCATTGTGCCTCTCCAGGTATTGTACGGGAAAATGTGTTTGTGTTTGATGGTGACGAGCTTAGCTCGGTGATTACTTTAATTGCTGTGCCGGACTGCCAGGTTGCTGTTTTTGGAACATGTTGGCGAGTGCGGTGGAATCATGTCGCGTTTTGACATTTTTTATAGGTAAGTTTGCAGCGCGAGTGACATTAGAATATTATTTTTCAACATTTAAAAATATGTTGTCTTCACACGACCACTTAGCATTTTGTACTATTTTGTATGAACATTAAAAAATCTGTCTAACTTTGTACCAGATTGTGGATTTTTTCCTACTCTAGCTTACCAAGTTCTATCTAGAGTTTGTCTGCTAGAGTTTGTTTTACATCCTGTGTTTCAATAACGAAATCGTACATTATATGTGTCCACAATATATTAAATTTAATAAAATAATTATATTATTTAATTTGTGATAATATTGAATAGCGAACGACATTCATGTTTAGTAGTTGTAAAGAAATATCATGAACCATCATAGTAACTGGAGTTAATTATATTATAAATATTTTTTTTATTAGTAGTATTTAATATCTATTAGTAAATATACTCGAAACTTTATAATTTTCGGTAGGTGTATATTCGAGAGTCGTGAAGTGACATATGTTTTTAACAGTTTGTACGAACTATTTATTTGAATGTAATCTAGTGAAGTTCAAATAATATAAGAATATTTATTTCAAAATAAATGAAAAAACCATATGATACGTCTACTACTGGAAACTATAAAAGATATGTATTTTTTAATGGATGATAATGGAATGGTGTATTCGCCTGCGCTACGGTTTACTTTGGCGGGGCACCAGTGGATGACAACAAGAGAATGAAATCAGGTCAGTTAGCCCATCTTGGCAAATTCACTTGCAATTTATGACGGTTTCCATGGGGAACCGCAACAATTCGTCATAATTAATTGAAGTTTATTCCGAGGGTGAATATCTGAAAGATATTAATGAATATATCTCTTTTTACAGATGAAATATTACTTTTTTAAATTAAGGGAAATGAGAGACATTTGTAAAATGGGTATGTGTCTATACAAATATTTCCTCGATGAATTTAGTAACAAATATCTACTGACAACATACAAGGAATAAAAAATCTAATTTAAATATAGACGCAAAGCCTCAGACTGTGGTAATAGCAAAATAAATACTTAGAAGGAAAATATTTAATAAACTCTTTGTATCTAAGTGTGACCGATGGCGAGTATCTACAGGTATTATTTACGATACGGTCAGCAAAATTAAATGTTGATAATTTATTTGTTAAGGTTTTATTTGATATACATAATGATGATCAATGATCATAGAATTTCAAAGCAGAATGCCAAATAAACAACGTGATGTATATAGGCACAATGAACAACATGTAGAATACCTGATAGACTTTATAATTGTTTAGATATAATTATAATTATCTGCATAAAAGTGTGACGAAAAAGTATTTTTTTATATTAACATTAATTTTTTTCAATATGTTGGAATATTAGTAAAGTTTGGTAATAACGTTACCAAACTTTAGTATTAAAAATGCAAAGTATTAATTAGTATTTACTGAAAAATAGTTTGTACAAATTATATGTATATATCGATATTTTTCATAAAAAGTTAAAATTATAATTGTTATTTTATTCTGTAACCAAATATTTTTCATATTAGGTACTAAAGTTCACTTAATTATTTTTTTAACATGTGTGTGTAACATAACTTATTCACCAAAATACTACACAGTAGCTACCTACGAGTTTCTGACTTCGGAGTCACGGAATCGCATTAGCATCATTATTAATAATGTTATTGCTTGAGTAATTCAACTAGTTTAAAAAAGATGATTATTTTTCAGTGTAACCATCTTCATTTTAATTATAAATAATATTGTATTTGGTGCCATCTATTATTGCAGGTGTAACAGAAGTATGCTTCATGTCGGCGCCAGTGGGCCAGTGCCTTTACTGTTGCCCCAGAAACGACACCCTGGATATACAATACAAACTGTTCACCAGGTGCATTCCAACTTTCTCGTTTGTAAAGATATTACGAATTGGATCGAAATGGGCAAGTGTAGCAAGATTGATTGTGTCGGTTAGCGGTATCGTTCTTGAGATATAAATATGAAATTTATCATTCAATATATTAACATAGTAGTATTGTTTACCCGCGAGTGTCCAACTGTTATTCCTCGGCATCAAAAAGTAATAAAGAAAGAAGTTTTACGTACATTACAAATATTTCTTTTATCTTTCTTTGGAATGGCAAACATGTTGACCGCGCTATCTGATGGTAAGTGATAACCATTGCCTATATATGAACAGGAATAAGGACATAATGTCATCATTTGACGCTCGTTTTACCGTTACAGCTTTTGCGTTGCCATTCCAGACACTAAGATTTTTTTTCTTTCTACTTTAATGCTGTTAACGATAAGTCATGCCTGTAATTTCATTGCATTGTCTCGATCCTTAAAACGGAAACACATGTTTAATCGAGAGAACTTTCTTAATTCTTTTCTTTCTTGTTAATCTTGTGTGTGTTATTATTGTTGCTTTAACTATGTTAGCATTTAATTTTAACTGTATATATCCACCGTGATATAGGTTTTTTCTACCCATTGTCATTCAACATGCGTTCTTGGGATTTGATAGCACGGAATAGCTAGCATACCGGAGCTATACCTACGTATAGGCAGTACTTATTATTTAGAAAAACTTATAACTACTTATAACTAACCACGCGGGGAAGATGTTTGTTTATTAGAAGAATTATCAACCGTTGAAAGTTGTATCCATAACTTAATATCCATTAAAAATGAATCTACTGTAACAGTAGATATAATTTCCTCTACAACTCACTCAGATAGGGATAGTTGGTACAACGTTATCGAAGTTGCATAGTGCAGCCGGAAGGTGCAGAGACTGGATAAAGTTATAATAATATCTATCGGTAAACAAAACTGAATACATGTAGATGAACTTTGCACTCTATGAACTCAGTCCAGGTTCGTAACCAGAGGTGACCTATTTTATACAATTAGTTTTGTTTTAACATAACATTGTAACAGAAATTACATTATCACTATCTAGTTTTGTATCTGCGACAATGACGATTAATTACCGTTTTACTATAGTGTTTTAAACAGACTGTACTTTTAGGGTTTAGAAATGAAGGTGGACGTTGTCTGCACGGATACCAATTTCTGTCGTTAAGTTTCATATCTCGTAAGCTGTTTCGATTACCTATAAGGTAGTGTAATGACAAGGAACAGGATAAGTGACATGATATCAGTAGGCAAGATTTTATATGAGGTAGGCCGTCAGTTTGATTGCCGTCCTTGTTAAAAAATGTAAAATGAAACTATTCTTCATATTATATCAGGGTTACTATAACAGCGCTATATTTTAGAAACTATTTATGCTATCAATTTGAATTTAAATGTTTTGGATACTGTTAACCAATTTCATGTCAAATGAAATATTATTTGAATTTCCCGGTTTTATTTTGCATATAATGCAACATCTTTGCCAGTTCTCTGCCAAATGTATTATCATCTTGAAAGAGGTCAATTTCAGTGACTTTTCTCGTTCCAATGTTTTGAATTATATTTGTTTTCTAAATTATAAAACAAAGGAACAATTTATGATTATTGTTTCATGATATCTTGTCATATAAGTAGCAATAATAAAGAAAGAAAATAACCGCCACTACTTTACGAGGCTATGTGATTGTCTAGGTTAAACAATGGATGCTATTATTATAGTACTTACATGTCATTTACTGTGATGTACATATTTCCTGAAGTTTTATTTAGAGACTAAAAGATGATTAGGTACCTATATCCGACAAGTTATCACATAACAATAATACTTTGCTTTAGTCATTGTTCCGATTTGTTTAGGTACCTTGTTAAGTATATCTACACGAAAGGTTTTTATAAGCTTCTAAAGACATTAATTGAATCATGATGATTAAATAATCTTTAATTAGATACATAATTCAAACATTTTCAGATCAGTATATGTAAGTCAATTAGGTATGCCTAAATAAAGTAATATAGTGATATTGGTATAAAATATACATTAGAATACGTAAATATAGAGAAGTTTTAAATATACCGTCATAAATGTTCTAAGGGAAATTTTATCTTTATATTTATTTATCATATATTCACGTATTAAACGTAACGTTCTCATATACTCAGACGAACGTCCAAAACAAGTCATTGGATCAGATAAGGTGAATCATATTTTTGGGCAGAAATTATATTAGCAAAAAGCAGTGGATAGAAGTAAACAAAAAGAAATTATGAAATGACCGCACGAGATATATGTAGTTCACAGGAAATCTGTATGTAGCTAGGTATATAGGATATAGAAAATTTTTTAAATTATTATATCCATTGCTATTTCGCAGAATAAATCCGACGGTACCTCAATCTGTACCAGAAACCGTCAATGTTAATAGTTTGGGACGAACAAGTTTCAACTTTAGTAATCCTACAGTTATATACCTGATGGGGTTCTCTGAATCGATTAGAGGAATCAGCACCACCACTCTAAAAAATGGTAAGTACCTACATGAGCAAATTACAAATAAATATTTATAATAGTAATTTAGGCTTAAAGAGATTCGTATATAAAGAAGAATAACATATAAGAAGATAAAGAACAATCTTTAGTCCACCTGAGTGAATTATTATTATATAATTACTAGCGACCCCATCAGATGTCGGGTGGCCTGAAAAAATTCTGCCACTTACTGAGTCCAGCTGCATTTTCAAAACATTCCGAAACTCATAGAAATATGCACACAAAATTTCATCTAAGTGTCACTTAATTTCCAAACGGCTAGACCTGCAGTTTAGAAAGAATTATGTGACATATACAGAAGTATTATGTATATATTAAAATGTAGGTTCGCATCAAAATTGTACTAGGTGAACTAATATTTAAAATATAAGTAAATTAAATTGTAAATATTTAAATTTGCCGCCAATTCGTGCCGGCCGGCCATGATTAACGGTGGTAACTTACGTTAAGCTTACGTTTTTCTTCATACCAAATACTCGGAATCGGTCAGATTTAATGATTTATTGGTTTTAGACGTGAAAACGTAACATACTAAGTAACTTTGGTATATAAAAACATTACCTATGTTAAATGTTACGTTATTTTAAAAAATATAGGTACTGCAAGTATGTATTTTCATTGAACTTATTTATTTGTTTGTTTAATACAGGTATGCGGAATAAAAATATTATAGTAATATTTGTATAAATTAATTTCATTCATAAGTTTACGAGCCATAAATCGTTGTTAAACAAGTTACTGTGTTAATATTTGCTGATCTAGTAATTACGATCTCACAAAATGTAAGTCATAAAAGCATATTTATGATCAGATTTAGTATTAACATCTGTGGCATGTATGTTTTGGTTAATTGTTGAAATAATACGAATTTCAATTACGCATGTCTATAAATATGTATAAATTTTAATTAATGTTTCTTAACTACCGACAAAAATGCTGACGACCTACCTGATGGAAAAATTTAACAAATTTAAATTAGTTTGTTCTTCTCCGGAAAACATCGAGGTATAGTTCTTAATCACAATTTAAAACAATTTATATATTCCAGTTTAAGAACCAGTTTTAAGCACAAAGAACCGATATTTATTATTACACATCATGCATACAATCATTATTTTTGGGATTCCAATTTTAAAAATATCTTGTTATATCTGATTATCCATTATACATATTGTATATGAATATTTAACAAACTTTTATCATACCATTAAATTCGTAAACATTGTTATTTTTTTTAGAATTCGGAATAATTGGCGCGTTAAGTTTAAAAAGTAATAAATTTTATCTGAAAGTTGATAAAATGTGCATTAATTTGTTCTTATTTTACAGCTTACTTATCAGCGGGCGATTACAACTTTATTGCTGTAGATTGGTCCAGGCTTATTGTGTTTCCTTGGTAAGTTAAATTATTGTTTTTAAAATCACGACTGCACTCGCGTTATATAATTTGAGTATATAACAGTTTATATATAACAATTTTACCTTTGTATAGGTACATTATTATATTTAACATAATTAGACCAATATAGAGCAAGATGCGCTTGCTCTATATTGCATCTTGTCTGTTCTTTGTGAAGGGTGATACAGCAGTGGCATTACAGAGTACAGATTTAGGCTTTTCAAAACGTAGTCTACGTAGGTTTCTCTGTCAACTTTAGATAAACACTTAGCTTTCTAAGCTGTATTTCAGTTGAAGAACGAGCAGTGAAATAATATGAAGGATTACATTTCACTTCACCGGAATGACAATGCATAGGTCATCACACGATAACGTGATGAAACGATGGTAAATGTACACGACTACAACAGACTGTATCCTTATTTTAGAGGAAACGAGAAATATTATTTTATTACACGTGGTTTATACTAAAATATAGTAGATTGTTAATTGCTATAGGAAAATTATTAAGTAAAATCAAGTAGGTATTTACAATTCATATACGAAACCAAAACACGTTGCTTCGTCTATTTCCGGCATTCCTTTTCTGGGAATGTGCGAATATTTTCAAGCGAGGTGAACATTTATTTATTACGTTATGGCCCTTAGCCAAGTACACTGCAGATTTATGTAGCGTTCCCGAAAGTGTTACGCAATGTCCGAATCTTAGTATGTTAGAGCCTGAGCATACGTTCTACAACAACGCTAATGTGAAGATACTCTGTGCTAAAATAATGGACAATATTGGAGCGGTTGTAGTGGGAGTGAAATTGGTTCGTCAGGCATCCTGATTTCGTTACACAAAGCAATCCAGGGCTCTTCCAATGCATCGATATTGCCCGAGTTTAGTATCGTGTGTATGGCGTTTTAGGTGTCCTTATATAGGTACTCTGATTTAAACTCTTTATTGAGATTTATACAAGAAATACTCTAGGCTGTATTCAGAAAACATGAGATGCAGAAGGACTTTGGGCAATCCGTATTATCCTCTTTAAATAAAACTAGTATGATAATGATAATAGAAGAAAATTGTTTAGATACTAATTTTTCATGTAATGACTTCTCGAATAGTACTCAATATTCTGCTTTCTTACTTTTCTCCTAAAGTTTTAGAAAGATATTATTGTTTGATAAATATATCAATAATGCTATTAATATCATGTGTGTTTAAATTGTCTAGGATTGTGGTTGTCAACCTACGCAAGAAAGGAAATTAGTGATTAGTGAAATTCCTTATTTTAAATCCTAATTTTAAAATGCAACTTACTGTTATTCATTAATTTATGGCGTTGTGGTGTTGAGTAAATATATTATTATTATTGTTATTTGATTATCATTAATAAATGCCTCTTCAAATGTATATGCAGACGAAGTTGCCACTATTAATACAATGATGGGAAAGCGAAAGAAATCAATAAATAAGTATTAATTGGACATCTATTGTAACGAATGTATTCATCCCGTGCACATATATCCTGATTCCAGGTATGTTACCGCGGTACGTAACACCAGACATATGGGCACACGATTAGCAAGCTTCGTGCAGTACCTCGACATAGCTGGTGTGAAGGCTGCCAGCCTGCATGTTGTTGGTTTTTCTTTGGGAGCAGAGGCAGCAGGGTTTGCTGGTAAGGAGTTACGGAGGAGGGGACTTGTCTTAGGAAGAATTACAGGTAATGGTATTCTGATTATTTTTACTCAAAAAAGGATTAAGACGTTTCTGTCAACACAATTTTTGGAGATGGAACATGAAAGTGGATAATAGCTAATCTCATCCGTATACACCGGTAGTCTGTAATGAAGTTATAGGATATCAGGTTGGACATCTTAATCCTCTATCTAACGACCGATATACGCACTACGAGCTTCACGGGTAAGCTCGTAGTGCTGTTCATGTACCTATATCGATGATTGTCACCACTTAAAATAAAAAATCTTATTTATAAGAGAAGATAGTTAATCTACTTAATTTGACAGGTCTGGACCCAGCATACCCCGGGTATAGCTTGACCAACAGCAATGACCACCTCGCTCGAGGAGATGCCACATTTGTCGACGTTCTCCATACTAATCCTGGAGTGTTGGGGTTCCCTCAACCCATCGGTGATGTGGACTTCTATCCTAACTTTGGAACGTGGATTCAACCAGGATGTTGGATTGACCAATTGATTAAAAATAGACAAATTTCATTTCTTTGTAAGTATCTACTATATAAAATACTAGCTACTGGCCCTGGCTTCGTCCGGGTATTATATATGTATATTAAACCTTTCTCTAGAATCACTCTATCTATTAAAAAAAACCGCTTCAAAATCCGTTGCGTAGTTTTAAAGATTTAAGCATACATGGGGACGGACAGACAGCGACAGCGTCTTTATTTTATACTGTGTAAGTGAAAATAAACCCATCCTTATTTCCTCAATTGCGAAATTAAATGGAGATATTGATGGTAAATGATAATCATATGTATGATTTTAAATCAGTTTAAGAAAATGTAACGTTATTCACACGGACAGCTAAAAAAAGCAAGGATTAAAAAACTAATATTAATATTTCTCGAAATATAAAAATATTAGCCACTAACTGAACTTACCTAACAGCCGTTCTGTCATTACTATGAATATTGACTCGCATTGCATATAGTAAGAAAACTTTAAAAAAAATCTTAACTAACATTTAAACTTTCCTAATGTTCTGCACAACGTTCTTAATTTTTCTTTAATAAAAACCTTCTCCTGACTATAACATATACAACAAAAAAAGATATCGCTAATACTTTCCAGCGTTCACGCGTGATTCCAACTAAGGGAAATTCCTATTCGTTTTCTATGTAGATACATGCTGATTCCGCACGGATGCACTCTTAATAGGCTAAAGGATGTTAAAAATCGGTTCATATATTGCAAATAAAAAAACAAATCAATCTTATCAATAAAGTTCTATTATTAGAATGTATATGATGCGACTAAATTATTTATTATATAATCGGCAATAGTCCTATTTCCGTTCAAAGGCAAAAGTCAAAATACCTTTTTACTTTGTATGTCCGTAACCTTATTGTCGTAAAACTTATTTGTTTTCCAATATATCGTAAGATTGAATTTAAAAGTAGTATATAATATTCCTATTGTGGATTACAGTAACAAAGTTACGCCTTTTACTTACGTTTTGATATTAGAGTATCTGGAATTTCTAAAAGTTAATATATAAGTATGTACCGAAGGTAACGTAACGAACATAGCCTTCTGTGTATACTTAGATTGTGGAATGAACTATCTGCCGAGATTTTATTTAGAGAATATAGCATGGGGTTTTTTAAGACGAAGGTATGAAAGTATTATGTAACACCCCTGGTGTCTTAGGCTTCATATGCTAAGATAACCGTTTTCCACCAGATGGGCCGTATCACTCGTTTGCTTCAATCGTAGTATAATGAATCTATTTATTACGGTTTTTATTGTATGTTCCTATTCTCTAAGGGATTTTCTTATCTCCATGCGGTTTGGACATGATATAAAGCAACTAGTATTTTTTTTCCATAACATTAGTTGGACCATGGTGTGATTTCCCCAAGCGTATTTCGAACTCAATGCCAATGTAGGAAATTATTCACGTAGCAATATTATATGCAATTTGTAGTCACGAAGCACAACATAAACACAGAGTACGGGTAAGTATAAAAAATGTAGGCAATTCGAACATTTTTTAATCTGCAAAGATATTAAATAAAAACAAACATTCATTTCAAAGAACTTTCATTACATTTATACTTACTTATGTGAAAAGATAGCCTATGTTCGTCTTTGTGATATAATCAAATTCAAAATTATTTATTCACAAAGAAACTCTTGTGCTTGTCATATTTTTTATCACTGTCCATACCATCCACTTCGGCTATATAGTTCTATTGAGAAGAATTGGCAAGAAACTCAACTCGTACATTTTTTTATTAATTATTATTTTATTTTCATATTATATTTTATTAAGATAGTTTAGTCGTTTTGCCCTATGTAATGTAATAAACCGACATACAGATATATATTAGATTTTATAATATTTGTACGGATAAAAGTTTCTCGTAAAGAGTTCAATATCCTTATTATTCGGTATTAGTTTAATATCCGTATGAATCCCAGCACCCCTCATTAACTCGGCGATAGTCACCACAGATTAAATAAGTTACGTAATACTGCAACCCTAACAACCGTATATTTCGGCGGGAAAGCACGATCGATGCTCTGACGTCACGACGCGGATGCTGGAGGGCGGGGGAGGGCAGCGGGGGCCGATCCTCCAGCTACGCTGTAAGCTGATTATTATTTTGCGTTCCAAAATGCTATTATTAGAATTTTTGTTTACCTACCGTTGTGACGAGTAAGCAATATTAAAACGGTTCCCTATTTTGATACGGATTTATTTTTGTCTGAAGTTACGGGCGACATTATGCGTTCGGGAAAACCAACTTTACCTGTTACGTAATAAAACACCGAGCCTACCCCATGTTGATAAAGTCCATTATATATTGCTGCGATTTGTTTACGACTGAATCAAAGTAAGGCCGTTTTATGTATAAAACTGATGTGGGAATGATAATTTGTCATGTACTTGTGAAGTTTTCATTTTCAACGATTTCAGTTATCTTGGCGCCATCTTATTTTTTGGACTGTTATTATTATTATACATATGTATTATTTATGCCGTGAATACAAGTGTGGTGTTTAAAAAAACCGACATATAAACAATACATATAATATTATATGTATTGTTTATATATCGGTTTTTTTAAAGGTAAAAAGTAGCTTTTAAGTGGCCAGCATATATTACGAAGTCCACAACAACAAAGAAGTTCAACTTATATGACATTAATCTTCAATAATTTAGAGATTTAATGTATCTATACAATTATTTAATAGGATTCCGGTCTTAATTTAGGAAAAAATTGAAAGGAGTTTCTAATTGAATATATGTGGTGTAATTTTACGATGTTTTTAGGAAAACGCTACTTTTCTGTCACTGTGGTAGCATTCATAAGCCACAGTAGCCCTTTACCGTCATATCTGTCAGACCGTAAGACTCATTACTTACATCATTGTATTAAACGGGGGGTACAGTTCTGTATGAGTCGGTTATACACAGTAACTGTAATTTGAATAAAGGAGCAATGCGTAATCATTTTCCATGACATTTAAGAAGATCTGTCATCTTAATGTTAGGGGAGGTCTCAGAAAGAATGAAGAGGTATTCTGTGAGCTAGCGAGAATGATTCGCATTATACCTTATCCACTTATAGAAATATTCTTATTCTTATTTTATAAGCAGATAAATTATAAAGTGTACTGCAATCTCAGTTAAACCGAACACATTTATAAGGAAAGCTACTTAGCGGCTAAAGTAGGCGAAACAGAGATCCATGCAGACGATTTGTATAAAGTCTAACTCGGTAATGATAACTATAATTATCGTTATATTACTTTAAATTTAGAATTTACGTAGAAAGAAACAATAAATAAGAGTTGAGTTAAACACGTAGAGGACCTTAAAATTTAGTTCAGTGTTTTACTTTTGATATCAAATTCATGTTTTGTAGATATTGATGTTGACTGTACAAAGCATCTTTGTACAGTTCAGTTTTGTTATAAAAGTAGTGTTGCAGATCGGACATAACAAACTGTGTCCTACATACTGAAATTGTAAGCTTTATGGAAACATAATTTACATATTTTAGTGGTCATTAAGTTTTTAGGACTTTAATTAAGCTTTATTACTCGCCTACAAAAGAAAAGAGGTTTGTTAAATTTTTAATGATTTAGAATTTATTTATGTAAATCTAAATTTTTGGAACACGTTGGCATGTAGTTCGTAGAATATAGGTATTGATGGATTGTACTAAGTGAGACCTGATTAGATTTATCTAAGAGTGCTGTGGCAACTCATATATGGGATATATGGCAACATTTTAAAATAAATTTGCCGCATTTACTTCAAAAAGTACGAATGAAGATTATGCAATTTTAATTTCGATAAAAATGTTTTGAAATATTTTTTTAATCTGCAACGGAATTTGTCAATACCATTAGTTTGAGTTATAATGTATGTGCTAAAGTGCTAATAGGTCACTGAGTACATAATAGTGTATATATTATTTATACAATCGATTGTCATGCTGATCTACCAACTCAAAGTCGAAACTAGACATAATACAAGTAGTATTATGTCTAGTGTCTAAAAATTTGGTACATTTGTATTATATATATTATATAATCTACTTAGAACGATTTTATTTAATTTTCATGAGGACGGGAAGTAATATCTTGCAGATACCATGGGACAGAGACAGTAAGACAGCTATTCGATTCCTATATTTTTATACCACAATGGTAATAAACGGTTATTGTAGTCAGTCAATATGTTTTTATACTTTAGTGAAGGTAAATCAAACAGTCGCTATCGACATTAGATTTTTGGCGCTGTCAATATTGTCAGCAACAAAATAAAATATATAACGCAAGTTCATCTTATCGATTGTGCAGCAAGCGAGGAACTGTTATCGTTGCTGTCACATTTCTTAGCAGTATTTGGATGAAATCCAAGTAGTATTTTATTTTCAACCGACTTATAAACTTGAAATTTCTCGAATGAATTCCGGTCGTCTTAAACTTTATGAGATCCCTGTATGAAAACCTCTTCGCCTTGGCAATCATCTCTAAGGATCGATTTCTTCTGCCTTATTATTCTGACTGATCATTTTGATTAGTCATCTTCTAAACTATGATTCTTAGCCTTTATTATTTTGTTGAGGTTAATTTTTTATTGCTGGTTTTCACTATCACTTTTCGTTACAAATTGTTGCCACTGTCGAGTAATATTTACGCGCGCGCGCATGTTATGAAATAAAATAGTCAGAGATTTATTTTAATTCCAATACTATGCTTACAATTTCGATTCGCAATAGCCAATCATTGTCTATAAAGGTTGTCTGTAGAGATTGCTAATAGCGATAAAACCGCTTTTGTAATGTACTTTCCAATATGATGCTTTTTTGTATTCATTCTTATAAATTTCTAAAGACTTATCATTATTATAGTTATGTTTTGCCCTAGATTTTGACGGAATGGTCGTGAGTTCGAAATTGACCTACTATAAACACCAAAAAACTTTATGGCAATCTATATTTTAAACTATCTAATGATGGAAACACCGAAGACAAACCAATCACCTGTTAGGTGTTACATTTATCATGATGTTGAAAATTGACGATGGTTCTGACTACCCTTCTTATTTTTTTATTATTTTCATTTCAGATGGATGTAGTCACAACCGATCATGGCGTCTCTACGCAGAATCTGTGATCAACCCCATAGGATTTCCGGCAACGTTTTGCAGGAATTGGAAGAATCCACCGATATTGTGCAACTTTAGTACAGACGGGTACATGGGCTTTGGAGCACAGCCGCCGTAAGTTGCATAATGAATGTTAAATTCTTTGAGAGGATTTAGTCTCTTCCGACTGTGATACGAGTTACTCATATTTGACACTCTCGACAGTCTTCTTTACTAGTCTTGTATTTGATAGTTGATTTTTTTTCTGTGTAATGAAAAAAATCATTAGTACTTAACCAATTTACACATTTTACATTTGTTTCACCTATGCTTTATAATATATGCTAGATAATTAGCGGTTGTTTGGGATTATTTGAATTTGAGAACTTTGAGAATAAATACAGCCATGGGAAGCCTGGGCAGGTCGTTACTTTATTATAATGAGCTCTTATTGTATTTCAGTATATTAATTCTATCGTAGCCGTATATATTTTCCCAAATTTAAGTAACTCCCAGTTCTGACATTAATTGACAAAGGAATTATTATGAATGAGTATGTGTAAGTAATTTAGAAAACTCTGATATAGGTTAAACTTAAGTTCATATGGCTTCAATCAGACCAATAATTTTAGTTATAACATTTAGAAATGTGGCATAAATTCCAAATACTTACGCTTTGCTAGTTGGAATAATTTAGGAACTACTACTAAATAACAAATATAGTTACATTTTTATACACATATATAGCGTTGAATATTAAATATTACATAAACAAGCTCAAAATATCCTGCATACCAAATTCATCCTAATCCGAGCTCATAAAAGTATATTTTCTTTTGACGTAATTTCAACTCCTTAACTGTCACAATGAAAATACCACCAAATTATCCGGACCCTTGTAGGGCGGCGTGGCACATTCAGCACAATTGATTACTTATGTTGATTGCCAAACCTTCGAGGCTCTCATAACATTGGTTAAGTCAATATTTGCGGTCGTTTTACGACGCCAATATACCGAGCACGTACGTCCTATGAATCTGACTGTAGATACGGGAACACACAGATTTAGTGGTGCTATAACGGAATGCTTACTTCTAATAAACCGTATTTGTGACCAAATATGGAAAGTAGAGTTTCATGTCAGCAATACCTAAAGTTGTTTATTATTTACTATCGATCTACCTTAATTTTGATGAATATAGTACAAAAGTGGTATTACTACTGATATATACATCTATAAACATAGAGATGCATGTACTGTAATTGTAAGAAATGATGGGGCCGAACTGGGCATGGTAAACCGTTCAAGGAACTATTTTATTAAAGGGCCAGGTTTCGCTGTTGCCGATTATACTTATAAACCTTTCTGAACTAAGATAGAATTCATGAAAGATAGAACAGTATCAAAATGGTGTGTAGTTTAGAAGAAGTAAAAGGCGAAGTAAAATTAGAGGCATTTATGGAAATAGCTATATATATATATGCTATATCAATAGAGATATGAATATGTGTTGTATTATTCTTGTTTCCAGTTATTCATAAGTAAGTAGACTTATTTTGTACAGTTTATATATTATTAGCAATTTTAAGCGGCATTACCAATCTGAATTGATTTGGTAAAGTGCTGTGCTTAATTATTTACAACATATATTTAAATTATTAAATTATAACAATGTAGTAATTCATAGTACGCGCGATAAGTTAAATGGTATCTATTAGTACAATAAATTTATTGCTGGAACTGTAAATCAGCGTATTCTGCAAATAGATGATTGATTTTTGACTGCACCCTGCTGAATGCAGCTCGAAATTAAAATGCAGTTTGAATTGTGAAACAGAATAGGAGGGAAAGGTTTAAGGGTTGGTTCATTATTCTGTAATATTCATAGTGTTATTAATTTCTATAGGCAATGTTTATCGGAGTTTCCTCTTTCATCAGACATATTATATATATCTTATTTGAAATTATACCCCTTTGTATGAATTGAACACTAAATCATATTTATATTAACAGCATGGCTGGGAAAATGTATTTGGAGACAAACGAAATATCGCCATTTGCAAGAAACGGACCTTGAGTTACGCAGAAGAGAAACAGTGAATATAATAACTTCTTTCAGCAGTATTAAAACGTTTTATTATTACTGAAACTAAATCCATGTACATATAATTATGTAATGTAAACTTTGACGTTTATGGGACTAGACTAAACTAAAATATAGTAATGAAAATTGAGCTGTGATAGTATAGAGGTTATGGTTGTTTTTTTTTTGTGGAATAAGTACCTCCACGATATACTGAGAATCCCTTCTCACCAGAGGTTACGGTTTATTGGATCGACAATCCGGTTGGTGGAGTATTTTGTATCTTTGTTTTACCATTCCAAGTTTTTGGGTTTCTATAATATAATAATTGTAGCAAGGGAACAAATTACCATCTAAAAGTTTAGTACCTACATAAGAGGGAATCGATCGGATTGTTGATTGATTACTCTAATAAAGACGTGTAGGTATAGTAACCTTGCATTATGCAGTTACCAATTTGTTTGTTGGTATGGTAGGCGTTATACAAAAGTTATTCCTATCAGTTAGTTTGTATCCATTTTATATGTACAATATAGTTTTTCATATATTCAAAGGAAATATTATTTTACGATTGTTTATCATATTCATTATTATAAAATGTTGCATTAAAGTGCATTTAATTAAATTTCTTACAAAACACTATGATAAACTGGGTACAGTCCTAAGTTAATTTCATATATAAATGTAATTTAATAGAAATTTCTTTCGTTTTAGAAAGAATTACTTGTAATAAGTACATACTAAATGCTAGATTTAAGTGTTGCCTTATTTAATTTATTCATTCGTTTCATTTTCTTAAAACATGCTAATATTATTTAATAAATTGTATGGGCTGTTAATTTGGACAGATAATATAATTAAATAAAAACAATGTATAATAAATAAATGTTTATTTTTGTTATAACTTTGTTTTTCAATTTTTTTTTATCTCACGAACAGCAACAATCTTCACAAAGAGTAATGGATATACATTTCACTTAGTCTTTAAATTTTCTAACCACAGATTATATATAGTGTATAATATCAAACATCACATCTCTATAGAGCAATCATTAATGCGATCGTAGGCCTTCGGATAATACCAATGTTTCTGCATCCCAAACTGACACTTCTGGCATTGATTTTCCAGGTATTCTTCGTACCAACTTTGGGCTAGACCTACGTTACTCGTCACTTTTTGTAACGCAGTGTCCACGAGTTTAATCTCGAAGAAATTTAGTTTGGGGATATCGAATCGTTTGCAAATACCCTTGTCATTTAGTAGAACATCAATAGCGAGGTATCTGAGTATAAATGAAAATGGAAATGATTAATGTAATGTCCCACAAAATCGTAATTTCATTTGCGAAAAGTTCAGTTATGTCGCCTATCTTATTTATTAATATCCTCCCCCTTATTCAAACGGTATACGCAGGTGCGGCACAGGTGAAGGATAATATATATGATGAACATGAACTCAGGCCAAATTAGTCAGGATTTAACGAAGATGATCGATGATCGAGGACCCCTGATAGGGAGGATCGTCTTTTCCGATCCACGACCACTGCAAAATGGAGTGTCAAATATGTGGTTTGGAAAAGAACACTACTAGTATCTACATCAAAATAATTGGTATCGTATTTTGGGAAATGCCTCTGTTTAGTAGTGAACTATAGGTTGGGACGATAACCAGGTACTTAACAACGATTACAGATGTTTATTGAATGATTGTGCTTATTTTTGGGGCTCCGTAGAGTTTAATAGAACTTCTATTTGTACAAAATATCCCACATGGAGATACGAATTATGAAGTAGGGAAATTTGTTTTAAGATAGAAATATCAAATTATGTATTTCGGAAAAGAATAATTATTTACATTAAATTAAACGTCATTATGAGCAAAAAGTTTATTAGGAATTTTGTTTACATTCTCAAAAATTCACGACAGGCACTGAAACTTAAGATATTAATTCACAGACGATTATAAAGACCAATGTTTCACAGCATTACAAATTCGCATATGCACAATCGTCAAGTCTGCTTGGAGATTTAGGTGTAAAGAAATGGAATTGGCAGGCATCCAGTCTACATGACGAGATACAGTATTTGCAGTACCAATCTTCAGCAATTTTCTGTTTGGTGAATAGTTCATTCAGAGCTAGATCGACGAGAGTAGTCTCGTAGTCTGTCATCTTTGGGAGGCCGAGGCTCTTCACAATTCCGCCGCTGCCAATTTCAACTGTATTCGCGATGTATCTGGAGGCAGAAGAACTGATTGTATGCTTCTGACTGGCTTCTATTAAGTTTAAAGGAATAGCAGTAGCAGCTTTTAGATATCCACACATATCAGAGTATTATCTTATCTAATATCGGCGTGTTGCTTGTAATAGGTAACAAGAAATTTGAAATAGTCATGTGTAAATAGAATATAAAGAACATATTAATGAACTCGGCAGGACTCGGCAGGAAAAGTAGCGTTGCCTACCAATCCAATCCGATTGTGTCTTGAAACACTCTAGAAACCTATTGAAACATACAAATAACATTTCATCCAAATCGGTGCAGCGGTTTGATAATAGTAATATGACAAAAACACCTACAGAAGAATTAAATATTTAAAAGTGATCTAAATATTTATTAGGACGCAATTATAATAATTGCGTTCTAATACCCGCAAATGTAAATATATATTTCTACTGGATAAATATTAATAGTAGATGTAAACACCTAGCTGGAGATATAACTTGGCTAGCGTCCGTTTCGACGAACCCTGTCACTCTTGATAGGTCCTGGCACATTAGTGCATACGCAACCTTTTTTACCAGGCCAGCTAAAGCGTGCGCTTCACTAAGATCCGCTGCTTTAATGCAAGAACCATCACATCTTGTCACAGCAAGCTGGGCTTCGCGTACTGCGTTCGTCATCATTTGAGCGTTGTGCTAGGGGTGGGAATTAAACGAATTTTATGAACATTCAACCCTATTCAAAGAATTCGAAAATATGTACGTAATGTCATAAGAATTCCAATCCCTATAAATGTATGGTTCTGTTTTATAAAACTTTGCTAAATAACTAATCGTTTTTATTCATGAAGAAAGCAGGAAGCTGCAGTTTTTCAAAATAGTTTACTATGGCGAGAATTAAATTAACTTACTTTTTGCATAAAGTTTTAGCTGTCGAGGCAATTGTTTCGATTACATTTTGGGGCGTCAACCATTACTATTATTATTACTACTTTTATACTTCTTGAAGGATAGTGCAAGGTCATTATTGGGATATATAATATTAAGTAACATTTAAACAAATATAATTTAAAAACCAAGACAATAGCAAAGTACCTGAGCAAAGTCAAAGTATTCGACGGCTTTAGAGAACAAAGGCACCAAAGACATCCCCTCAGTACCACCAACACATGGCACTCTTGTGTAGCGTGGTTCGAGACATAGAGCACGGGCTGCGAGTGTACTCGCTCGCATTTCCGGCACAGCAAGTGATCCTAGCAGTTTACGGGGATCGTACCAACTGGTTTCTTTTAATGTCTGTTGAAAGATATCCGACATTTTTTCTGGATGAGTGTGGAATATTGCCTGCACTATCACTAAAACCTGGCAAAGGCTCCAAGAAGAGAACATTAGTATGAGATTGAAGTTACGAGTAGGTCAGGTAGTCGTGGTAGGTTCGTAAAAATCCATTGCTATGGTTTTGAAAGCAGACCACGTGGGAGTCGAATTACTAACAATTAAATAGCGGTTGGAGGTTAGATCTCTTTTCATAGGTTCAAAAAGAAAGCATTAAAACCTAAAGAGAGCTCCTTGGATCATAAAGCCCACAAGGACTTGGAAATTCCAAGTATTTAAAAAGAGATACAGATAGTTTATGATACACATAGAGGCATTTTGTAGATCATATTTTTAGATTTAAAGCTATTGGAGGTTAATAGGTAGCCCATATAGACTTAGAGGGCCTTGCGTGAATTCAGTATGGTACTTCATACGATGTAATGCATATATTAATGCTCCTATGAGGATTAATATATGCATTACATATATTAATGCTCATAGGAGCATTATATTACATATATTTGCTTTTATTAATTCTTGTCTATCTACAAATAGCTTGTCTATCTATAAATAATAATAATAGTATTAGACAATCTAAAAGCGCTATTTGTAGATAGACAAGAATTAATAAAAGCAAATATATCTGTACAAAAATTTGATGCTTTAGATGCTTTAACATCCAAAACTACGATAGATAGGATTGGGGCAATTCTTCTGTCGACGATTACGTCAGATAACGGCGACATTATCCCGGATCGTGATAAACTAATTTAGTACATATTATCACGAGAGACCTATTCGCGTATCTTTATCTTCTTAACTAGAATTGTTTATTTTCCACAAACTTACTTTTACTTCTCTTCTACCATAGTCGAAAGAAATGAGATTGTCTTGTATAATATACATTTAGGTTTGGTGTTGGTGGTTATTAGGAAGGTTTAGAAATATTTATGCAGTATATGTTAGGATAGCTCCATTTGATCCCCTATCCTAACCTAACGGCTGGCCGAAATTACGACTACCTGAACCAAGTTTTTAACCCCAAGAGGTGTTTTCTAACTGCAATATACATATATCGTATCCCTAAGGCAGGAGTTGTCCTTCCGCCACTCCATAAGTCCTTCCGCGGATTTGAAGTGCCCTCTGCATTTTTCACACATCCCATTTTCTTCCAATGAAGCTGTAAATTACAGCAACGGTTGACAGCATTAGAATAGAGTGAAAAAAAGACTTTCGTTTCCTTTCCACATACATACATATATCGGCCCAACTAATCCAATTACTACAAGTTCCTTTACGTGGTAATTTTTCAGGTACCAACACATTGGCACAACCGATCGCGTGCAAATTATGATGTGCCGTAGACGAATTTAAAAATTGAATCCACGACCACAGAAATAGTAATACAAAGAATAACAAATAAGGTTTCTTTTTCAAGTGACTCACACTCTTGGATACCCAATTTACCTCACAGTTATGGCATGAAGTAGTCTGTGCAAACAAAAACAAGTTTTTTTTATTACAATATCCTATGACGTTGGATTCGTGCAAAAACAACAATATTTATTGTGAGGGATGACGGGGCATTTCGCCGTCTCAATACTAAAATTTGGGTTAAAGTAATTTCGTACTGTCGTCATCCTAATAGATACCTATACGTATATATGTGTTACACTTCTAGCCGAGCCTAAGGTGTCATATCTATTTTCGAGTAATTTCGCTATCTTGTCTAAACTTTCAACTAGAATACATCTTTCCAATCAACTAACTGTTTGGCGCTGACATACATGAGACTGACGTACTCTCGAAGATGACTTTTTACAACATCTATTTCCTTTTATTATTTGTAATCTCTGTTTACACTATGGTCGACTGGGGTCGATTTTTACATGAAATTATTAATAAATATAGAAGAAAATCTTTGTTATATAATCTATATCATTATTAATTTAATATAGGTACATACGTGGTTTTAGTTTACAGCGATGAAAAATAGTGACAATTATTTTTTTTTGTTACCACTGGAACAAAAAATAACTTATATATATCAACCGATAAATCGAATCAATGTAACATATACTACTTGATTTCTTTTTAAACTTTGATATTGGAAATCAATTGTAGCATAATTTAATCATCGTCAGTACACGTAGGTAGTGTGAGGTATGTGGGTGTAAGTAAGCCCACACTTACATACAAGTAATTATGTTTCCAGAGTTATAATTACGAGTAATTAATTTTTATTTTACGCTTAATGTAGTTTTAAAAAAATCTAATATTTATGTAATAAAATTAAAAGCGAACGAGTTAACGGAAGAAATATAGGTATATATACAAATAATTCTTGATTTTCTACGTAACCTCGTGGGACGCCGTAAAACTATTTAATAATAAAAATATACTGTACTGTTATTCTCTTTACGTCATAAAGCGAGAGCTCAAAACAAAAGTAAAGCTAACAAAGAAATATCCGTCGTCTCAAGAACCCTGGAATTATACGGATTCAAGGAACAAAGAAATATTCATTAATAGATTAATGTTATACTGGTATTTTATTCTATATTTTTAATTACAATAAAATTCTAAATGTGAAAAATGAAAATATGAATTATGCCTATGCTTTCATTCTGTAATATTATGTTTTTTTTTATATTAGGCTAAAAATTTGTTAAAACAAGGATTTAAAATACATTTTTATTTATTTAATAAAAATTGTATTATATTAGATACTTTTGTTTGATTTTAATTATGGATACAAATTGGGAAATTATTAGTAATAAATAGTTCCAATTAAAAATATATGTAACTTTGGTGATGGTATGAATTTTCTATTATATGTACATATACATAAAAAACAAACCAGTATCAGGTCAACAACTAAACATTTCTTCCATTATTCCACTATCGAACAAAATTGAACGGACAAGGCTATATTATTTGTAGGGGAGGTGGCGACCACCCTTTCTTCCGCCGAGAGCACCTAAAAGGCTTTGTGTATTCTCTATATTTCCATTATAAGTAACATCGTTTCATAGTTCATCACATACATATACTGTTTTTGACATCTCATATTAAGTAGCAAAAATAAAGTAAATTTAAATAGCAAATAGATGAGTATCATATTATTAGTTATTAAATTTGTTAAGATATAGGTGAACTGATAATTACATAACTTTTACAAATTGCTTCCATTATATTTAATCTCTTTATCTCATCCCGTTTTTTTTACACTTGAGTATAATTTAAAAATTATACTCAAATGTAAAAAAAAAACGGGGAAATTTATTAAAAACAGTAAGGAAAATATTAGTACCTATATATCAATTTATTCTATATTTTTGAAGGAATGAAAGAAAGGTTTTTAATTCATCTGGAGCCAATTTCTACTACTAGAGTACTAGGTACTCTGTAAAAATTCCGGTAAAAAGTTATGCGTTTGTATTTATTCCAACATAGATATCTAGTTTCAAATTTGTTATCTCAAATTCTGTAAATAGTGCCCTTGGATAGTAAAATAGTTAAATGAAATTACTATATTACATAAGCATTACTATTTTACATAAGCAGGAGAGTAGACATAAACGATATTAAATGTCCTGACTGACAAATTGCGGATTGATTCAAAAGGCTTTTGTACGCGAATAACGTAATTTCAGCCGAGATTGAGAATGTGTGTCTCAAGGGACCGATGTAAAATATTTATCACTTACTGGTGATTCTGCGAGTTTGTTCCGGATATGGCCGACGTATTTCTCGGTCATTGGGGACTATTCCCAATTTTTTCTACGTGTAATGTTTTGAAGTTTGTTTTCTGTGCTCTTGTTAATTCGTTAGCTGCCTGAACATTGCTAAATTACTGAATTAATTTTTTTTAAAGATATTCTTTCAAAGAACAGTTTTATTGAAACTGGTATATCCGTATGTAGGTTTACAATCAATTGTTGGCATTCAATTGAGTTGAAATTTAGCACATTTATTAAGTTCGATAAAAAAATGGTAATGACTGAATTAAAATCAAAACTCTAGAACGCAATGACATCGATTTAAGATTCGTTCAAATTGTTTATATAATTATTTGGTTGACAAGTATATGTACTCGTAAGATCCGATTACATGGTCTTAGAATTAAATTAATGTACGATAAAAAACTGAAAGTAAAAAATACATCCTATTACCTTCTATATAAAACAACTGAAATGAAATCCAAGATTGGTATGATTAGGTTATTTATGAGAAATATTAAGTAACCGAAGTAGTCTATGAGTGTATTCATAAAACAGGACTAGATTACATCCATATGGGATTAACGAGCCGTATCCAAACCCATAAACAGTTGGTATTTCGACATTACTCGAACATAAAATATTTAACGTCACCCATGGGATGCAACACGCTACTAGTGAAATAACTTGGAATTCCATATTTCAGAAGTTTTCCAGAATACGACACTACTTTCATCTGGTGCACATTATTTAGAAGTCACTGTGGTAGTAGGTACTTTTTATAACAAGAAATATATGCTCTATAACATATATAGAAATGTTATGCCCGCTTCTGTTTATTATGAACTAGCTGACCCGCGCAACTTCGCCTGCATCACACTTACTTGACATTTATCATTATATTTCGCCCAATTTGCATATTATTTTAAATTATACCCTATGTATCATTCTAATATATATTACTGTAAAGTTTCATAAAAAATCGTTCAATACTTTTTGCGTGAAAGAGTAACAAACATCCATCGATCTCTCAATCGAACTCACAAACTTTCCCGTCTAAATAGTAAATAAGATTTATAGCAATTACTATATCTGTGGTAATGGTAGATTGCGTGAGAGGCAACCAAGGGAACATAATACTTAATACAAAGGTGGCGGAAAAGAAACATTTGATTAAAACCTACACCGAAGTTCCCTGGCCTGCGTGGTAATAATTAGTTAAACTCTCTTCGTTTGAAGAGTAGGAAAGACAATACATGATTATGCAATAGTGCAACCGCATGCGCTAACAGTATGCGCTGGCGTGCAGCCAGTGAAAGATGATAATATGAAGTTAGTCTAGGAATTTATGTCGGTGGTTTTCGTGGGGGACCACGAAGATGTTTGGTTTTTATATGTGACTGGAATGGCAAACAAGCTGACCTACTCTTCAAGTGGCAACAATCTCTGATACATACATACGGAATAGTACATATACAATATACATAGATCAAGAGTACCACTTCGAACCCAGTAATGTAAGTCCCATATTTCATCGTCCAAGCGAAATAACTTACCTACCCTACCTACCTGCTACCTGCTAGATGTTTAAAATTGGTGAGACAAAGGTACCGACGCTGACTCCTATGCAAAATCTACTGCTAAGTTTGGCCTAATATGGTACACTGCTAGCAAATGTACCGATAATGATTATTATTAATAATACTAGCAATAAATAATGTCATATTAAATTTTAATAACTTTACTAGACAAAAATAAACAGTAAATGAAATACAGTCTGAAATACCTCAGCGACCAAAGGAACCATGCAGTCTATTGGCGTAGCGCACACTATAATAAATGCCTTTGGGCATTCATTGGCTATAGCGTCTGCATAATGTTTCACTATAGGGGCTTGACAGCAGAACCTCTTTTCAAATGGCATGTCCACATTTAAATAGCCGCTTTCAAGCATTAGGACTATGTCAGTGTTCTAAAAGAAATCATGAATCATTATGTCTTGAATATCTACTCATATTTTTAATGTATAAGTTACTAATAACTTTATTTTAAGCAACTTGCCGAGTAACACACGGGAGAAAATAACTAATAATAGAATGTCAAATTTTTTGGAGTAAAATAACCTGTAATCAATATTACAGGCTAATGATGTAAGTTTATATAGGTAAAAAAAAATAACTGATTCATCTCTGTTTTTGGCTTACAAAAAAAAATATGCTGGTTTTTGCATTTATATACGTAGTAATATTTATTCTATTAGTAGCGAAATACCCGGTGACTCGCCTGGATTCCCAGGTAGGTCTGGGTGTAAGTATACACCTACCAACCCTTTACCAATTTCCGTTATGCAGCAGCACTAAGTGCGTTGTAGTGTTTTCAATTGAAGGGTGAAGCCAGTAAAGTCTAACATGTGGCATAATATTACACGTTACCTAGCATTAGTCGTAAGGGGTATATAACAACACAATAAAGACAGAAAACACCCAGACCAATACAAATAAACATACTCATTAATACAAATGTTTTTGTAATGGTAGTGCGAGAATCGAACCCTATGTATATAAACAAGGTGATGTCCTAAACTACTAGACCACTGAGAGAGACAGTGAAAACATACTATTTTGTTTTACTTTTAGTACAAAAGAATATTGAGTGGGTGAGCGCTTGAGCGACGACGTAAGTGGTTTTATGCTATCGTCTGCAGACCGATTGGCGCCGAACGAAGCTACAACACACGACCTCTAATGGATATAAATTGATACATGCATTCTTTATTTATGACGGCGAAATAGATCCTGTTTCGCATTTTCGATTAACTTGAAATAAATTTAAAACATCTGTTAAGTCATATTTATTGAGCGCAACCTGTTACTCAATAAAATATTACTTAAAATTGCAAGGCAATAGTTATACATAGTATTATAGTTTTAGATATAGACCAATCATAACGGATATAAAAAAATGTAATAACAGTTTTCTTGAAAAGTGTTATTCAAGTTCAAGAGAATTGGAAATAAGTAGTTCAATTTTCTAAATTGGCTTGCCTACTAGGTCGTAGATTCTTTTTCTTTGTAGGAGAATCCGAAATAAGTGATACACATTTAAAATAGGCATGCGTACTAGTTTACAAAATATCGTATAAACAGGCTTGTATTACTCTGTATGAAATACTAAAAATTACATTACATTTTACAACAAAGTTACACACTGCAAATATCTTTTACAGACTACTTCATGACTAACAATCTATAGCAATGAATAATAACAGAGCTTGTATTGATTGGTGATTGACAATGACGACACAAATATACTGTGGTAGGTAGTACTGATTCTAGGTAGTATAATACTAGTTTAACTTTTCCGTCGCAAATAACAGTTCGTTGTTGTAGGATATTTTTTGCAGTTACAATACGGAGCCGTATTGATTGGCGAGTCACAGGTCGATGGCATTTTCACCTACTCTTGTAAATGCCACGCATGGTTGAAGCCCAATAAAAGATTCAAGCAATACAGGCGGTGTATGTATTTTAAACTGCTATGAATTATGTAACTAATTGGAAACGCGGCGAGTTTTCGCATTTAAATAACTTTAATTTAAAAGTGGATTTATTAGTTTATCCTTTACAAAAATAAATACCAACTTTCTTCTTTATACCTAGTAGCCAACTTTGTGTACACTGGCCTTATTCCTCCTCCTTATAGATTGCTTTTTGAGATTAAAAAATAGCCTATATCCCTCCTCATGATACTACTTAGATTTAAATTTTATTAAGACTCGTAAAGCTATTAATTCAAGAAAAAGTAACAAACAGACACATTGTCATGTTTATAATATTTATATTTAGTTTCATGTTTATTCTAGTTAGTTAGACTACCTACGTTTTATTTATATACATCTATAAGTGTCTTTATAACATCGTATAAGTATTTTCTATTATTAGCGGAAATAAGATTATTATTAGTAACGTTTATAACCTGCAGACACCGTTCCAATTCGTAGCAGGCACTACTGAAAGCTTGTACCCTACAGTTAGTGTCGATATGCTGTAGATCTTGAACCACCTTGCATAGATCTCTGCTACAGTCTGAATATTGGGTGTCCTTCGCTTCGTATAAACGTAGTCTGAAACGGGATAAATCTGATGAAATTACTAAATATAAAAGGCGCATTTGTCCTCAGAATGATGTGACGGAAATCGGATTTCCGATATTCCATTTTATATCTTATGGATTTCTTTATTAGATTCATTTTCAGAAACGGATTCTGCAATATTATTGGACTCATTAATACTTTTCACTGCCAAAAGAATTCGTCGTCGGGAAGTTTGGTTGGGGATTGGAAGAATTTTGTCGGAAGGAAATTTGTTTTGATGAAAACCATTGAAACGTGTAATGTCTTTTATTTAAACTATTTATAGTTTGCTTTATTTTTTCATATGAAATCTTCTAGTCATTTAAATAAAGCTAGCAAGCATATAAGACATTAGTTTTCTTGATAAAGCATCTGCATTACATAACAACACCTAGTCGTTTACTATATAATCACCGTATACCAATTCCAGAACCACTGACTCCAATGGGATCTTATGAATTTATACTATTTATAATAAGAAACAATAACAATAGCGTTATACAATTATCTCAGTCTCTTATTTATCCTTATGGTACACTAAATAATATCATTGTACTAAGATTCTAGCCATAAAAATTGTGATAAATAGCAGAATTGAACTTCAGTCACGGTCCGCACGCCGCTCGTAAAATCTTGGCTTTATTACGTTTGCTTGAATGATCCCTGTAATGGCTTGTTTGAGACCCGCTAAAAGTTTGATGTCTACTGTACCAGGTCTGACAGGTGAATGAATTTAGTAATGTTTAGCTGTGATTGTATATAGGTCTATTAGAAATGTTTATGTGTACTGGCAGCCTCGGTGGTCTAACGGTTCAGTACACCGATGATTCCTCGGTTTGATTCCTCGCACGACACAAACATTTATATTTATGAGTATGATTGTATGTATGATAGTCTGGATGCTTTTGATATATTTTATGTAAGGCTTAAAACAAAAATGATATCAGTGGTCTAGTACCCATAATATAAGCTCTGCTTAGCATGGGACTAGATGGCGCTGTGTAAATTGTTCTGATGTATAATTATTATTTGACATTGAGTACTGTAGCTTAAAAGTCTATGCGAAATTCTTGATTGGAATATTTAGAAGCACTACTAAGTAGATTAGTAATACGAAGTTCAAAGAAAACAACACATAATTATTGTAGATCGGAAAGTGTGAATTATTAGATGCATATATGATTCATCTCAGATGAAGGATTTAACACGTATTGAAGTGTCATGAAATATATATGTAGCATTTTGGATGGAAATATTATAAGCTACTGTTAACTATGGCCAATCACAATTATGCGGACGAAGTCGCTGGTAGAAGTAAGTTTGCTATAAACATGATATCCATATTTATAATGATTTGAGGTTTATTTGTGAACTACATTTATTGGGCCACGCGACATATTAACTCTTTAGGGTACCACTATAGAATCAGGACCCGTGTTTTATAAATTCCTCCTAGTAACTTGCATTTATAGTTTACTATACATAACTAATTAAGTGCCTATTAATAACTGCTCAGAAAATCTAGTTAACATTGTTAACAGTTGACCTTTTAACTAATAGAGTTAAAGAAATATAAATCGTTTCTGAATGGAAAAAGATTGTGAGTACCTAAATGTAATGTAATGTTCTTTTTTGACGATATTCCCCAACATTGACAAATAGGATTTTTTTATGTCATTGAAATAGAAAGAAAGAAAGAATTAATTGATTTTATTATATTATTATTAATTATTTGATACAATAACAATAACAAAAAGAAATATTTTGAAACCTATTTGGTACCAAAATAATCCAATAAAATAATCAGCACGGTATCAGATAAAATATCGTGACGTGGGTGCCACGACGCTGGTATTCTGCGGAAATAGCAAACAAGCTGATGGCCACCTGATGGAAAGCGATAACCGTCTCCTATATACAGACAATTATAGACATCACGTTATCACGTTATACCCGCGATACCACGAATGCGTTGCCATTGCAGGATACAAGATGTCATGTCTCTTATCCTGTAATTTCACTGCTTTATCTGCACTCTATAACCAAAACGCAACTTATAAAGCAGGTTGATTGTACTTGAAGATTATTAATTACGTAGTGAAATACTCGATTTGCCATTTTCAAGAAATGGCAAATCGATGCGAATAATAGCACTCTAGACGGTTAATTATTTATTATAATTGTATACAGCTGTAGTACTGTAGCATTATGGTAACATACATTAATTAGATTTAAGATCGTAGGCTATTATTAACCTGATGTACAAATTATTATATAGAACCAGTACTAGTAATAATGGTATAATGAATTTATGCATTTATGCTAGCCTAAATAAATTAAAATACTATAGAACGTAGAATATATACTAGATATTTCGATGTAAATTTTTATTGATGAAGCCAAAGATAGAATCGAATCTAAAGATTCAGACCAATCTTTCCATATCTATTTTATATTTTTCTATTTAATAAAATTTACAAATCCCATTTTACAAAAAAACAAATAATAATTAATATACACTACGACTGTCTCAGTTAGGATAGCGAGAGGCATTATTAATTATATTATCGACGTCGAATCAAAATTTACTGACCCCCTGTGGGTGAGGCTACCGCTAACTGTCGAACTAATTTTTGCATTTGTTAGAGATGTTTCAACACCTCGAAGTCAATAAGAAATATCAATTGACACTCGTGACATAAACTCGTAGTTGTATTGGTTGTCACATCACGTCACGTCACGATCTTGGGTTTTAAGTCAAATTAGTAAATCAGTACACCATGACACTTCTATTTCATCAAATCAATTTAATGTCACCTACTATTATCATATTATATCAATTGCTACATTTCATAATGCGTTGACCGCATTATGAAATATGAAAGACTATCTGAAGCGGAAGTATCTGATGTACCTGATGAGTGAGAGGTATCGAGGGTTTTATGAGGAAAAATATGGAGAAAACTGAAAATGCCACTAACACGACGAAATATTAGATTATTACCAAAAAGAATTGGTAAAAAAACATGATTATAACCTTTAAAAATTATATAAAAATCCATCAAAGAGTATCTGAACAATGAAATCTATATTCTTGTAACTTATACAGAGGTTGTGTTACATAAAGACAAAACGACCGACAGTCAATCATTCATATTCATTTGTTAGCGATCGATAGCTTTCAAAGTGAACAAATCTTGTTGAAATCGACTGTTGAATGATTCATTAAAAATTGCTTCCATTTTATGCTTCAGTAGGCGTAGACTGCGAGTGACATAAAGTGTGCAAAATATTATAATGCGTAAAATACTGGAACGAAAGGAGCATTGCGAAGCAATAGCAGATAAAGTGAAGATATACACATATTAAGCTAATGAATCCACTACTTAATGGATTTATATTTTGTTTAATTCCGCTATCAATAGCATGTCTGAAACCACAAACACTCAGTGCATAAACCTGATCATTATCATATTTAAATAAAGAACATGATAGTTTCCTGCCATTTTGTATTAAAAATTATACTAAGAAAAATGCAACCATGTTAAGTATTGTGTTCGGTGCAACTTGAATTTGGTAATGCTTTAGACTACCTCATTTGGGAAATGAGGTAGTCTAAAGCATTACCAAATAGTCGTAAAGGTATATTTAGGTATACAAATTTTGATAAATCTGGATCAATTGGCTATTTAACATAACCATTTCATCTATCTATCATATATCTTTAACAGTATTATACTTCCATGGTTTACTCACTAGCTATTGATCATAAGAAAAATAGCTATAGTAAAACGCATTATATTGTCAATCGAAGACCCAATAAGTTTTTATTATGTGCATATACCCAGCTCTCTATAAAAGCTAATACTGTGGTATAAATAGACCGCAATCGACATGAACGACAGCGCAAAATGTCCCTGAAGACGACGTTCGTTACGTAAGAAAAAAGGTAAAACAAAGGTAAAAGCCATCTTTATCTTTATGGAAAATAGGTATTCATAACAGAAATAGAATTTGACATTTGGATTTTGAAGCTGTTACAGGGTTCGGGCAAATATACTGGTGTTTTGACGAGGGGCGGAAAGAAAGGTCCCTGAGGGCTGCCCAAACGGGCCATTTTATGAGGCGTAGCTTGTGGGACAAGTGACGTCACGACTTGCTGAACAGCTAAAGTTTACATTAAGAGCATTCATCTCAAGTAGTAACATTTGTTTCGGTAACATATTGTCGACATAAAAAGAAATCGCTTTTAATTTTTTTATCTGTTAAAGTCTAATTAATAAGTACTTTTAAAAGGTTAACATTGTTACAATTTTATTTCAATCCATATTACAATTTTATATATGTAACGGTATGTTAACAACGATTAACTTTTATATCACCTCGTATTTCGAAGTTCTTAGAATACTTTTACTTGTTTCTAAAAATTCCTTATCTGTAACTAAATAAATGTTTTTCTGCCCCGTTTTACTACATTTTTGTTTATGTCATTAATAGCAATGAAGCCGACGACATATATCTAATGGTAAGTGGCAACCGTCGCCAATTATAGGCGACGGTTATCATGTTATGTGGCACCCCTCCCATCATGTCTTGCCTCTGTGTGTAATTTCACTGCCATATCTCACCTTTTAACCGAAAAACAGCTTACATAGCAAACTGCTTGTTAGCTGTAATAGGTGAGAAAGAGGTACTCATGCAGACTGCTTTGTAAAAAAGAAATTATGAAATACAATTTCGATCATTAATTGTGTTACCAAATAGGTCTTGGCTCATTATATGCCGTGACTAGGTGCAACGACGCAGGTATTTTGCATATATTTATATATAACATAAATCTATAATAATATATAAACGTAATAATAATAATTGTACTGAATATGTAGTTCTTTTTTAGGAACAAGATTTTTACGAATGTTAGATTTTTATTATATTTATAAAATTGGTAGATAGGTATTTATTGGTACTCGTATGTGCTGTGTGTTAGTTGTAAGTGTATTTTTAGTCAACGTTGTTTGATATTTTAATGCAATGTCCATGTTCCATCGGGCAGTAGGTAAATAAAAAACTAATCACCAACCTGCTGCACAAACATTACGATTTTTATATTTTAGAACCCCGGACGAAAAAAGGGGTGTTATAAGGTTGACGTGTCTGTTTATATATGTCCGTCTATGGCATCACAGCTCTTAAACGAATGAACCGATTTAGATCGATGCGGTTTGAAGAGAACTTATGAACATTAGTCCATTGTGTATATTTGATGATTGATTGTATTACAATAAGCTTTCTTTTGTTTCAAAATAGCAGACAAATTCACGATTTACTAGGCTGTTTTTATTCTTTGTAACATATAAGTAATTTATTATTCGTTATATGGAAGTGCTTAACATATATTTATATGTATTAATTTAAGAAGACTAAGTTTATGTATTTATGTTATATATTGTCTTAATATTTCGGAAGAAAAGTAGAAGGTAATAAAAAGTGGATATGTTTCAGTATACAACATCAATTTAAAATGTTTCAATGCACTTCACATAAACTGACCTGCTGTACGTGGCTACTTAGGTACGTGATCTAAAATAATATTTTATATTGTGAAACATAAAGTTTATATGATAGTAAAACAGATGTCATAAAGTCTGAAGAAGAAATTGAACGAATAAAGTAAATTAATATTTACATATTCAATACATAATTTAGAAACGAGGAAAGAATCTACAAAGTAGAGCAATGGCGCTAAGGGAAAGGTTAATGGGGTAAGTATCCCCCATAAAACCTAATTACCCTTTTTAATTATAACGTTCTACCTAAATTCGAACATTTGCCAGCTGGATATCAGATAATTAAAATGATTAAAGTGAAACCGAAGCACATATTATAATTCGTAATTGTTCAAATTAGAATGTCTAGTATGCATGACTGCAAATTCTTATTATAAACTTTTAAGATAAAAAAATAAGAACAGGTAATTAAGTTATAGATAAAGGTATAACTTAATTACCTGTTCTTATTTTTAAGTTATTGGTAGAGTTATTTATGAGTAGTCGTATATTTGATACAGGTGACAAGACATTATACGTATGGAAGAATTTGTTAATATTGTCATTAGATTATCTGTAGTTGTTGTTTTTATTGAGTACTGCATATCTTTTTTTAAATAAATAGGTACTAGTTAAGACTATATAATCACTAAATCCAAAATTAAGTGGCGTTAACGGATCTTTATCGGAGTTATCTTCTATTCTATTTTATTCTATGAAATTTTAACGCAAATATCAATATATGCAGCCGTGAATTAAATCACTTCAATTAAAAATAAAGAAATTGCAACCTTGGCCTTTTAAACACTAAGGTCTTTAAAAGGCCCAAGTTGCAATTTCTTTTTAATTAAAAAAAAAAGTACATTTCTGTCTTAGTGAAAGGAGCAATTGTCAGCATGGGGGCAAGTAAATATAGATGTCCCTAGGAAAGGACCGTGGTTATTCCTGGTGAATTTATTACGATTGGACAGACGAAAAATCAGTCTGTCACTGATCCTCGATGAAGCCTCATTTTTCAGAACTACTGTTGTTTTATTAAAAATCTGAACCTATCTGAAATTATATACCTATAATTTCATTGCCTTATATTCCCCAACAACTTACAAAGAAATCTGCTTAGCTGCTAAAATAGGCGAGACGGAGCTGCCCACGCCGGGGATTGTGTACAAAGTATATCTCTTGTTCAATATAATACATTTAAAAAACTCACTTTTTAATACAAGGGCATTGTTTAAGTAGCAACGCCACATAGTGCCCTATAGCTGTATCTGCCCCAAGGATTGACACTTGGAGTCCGGGCCGAGGTTCAGGTATTGGAATCACTTTCTTTTCTGGTGGAGGTAACGCTTTCGCCTCTGGTACCACTACCTCTTCACACGGTTTCGGGGTACATTGCACCCGCCGAAATGGCGCTGTAGTCAATAATTATATACCTTACTAAATACCTTGGGGAGAAGTTATTGTTAGTAAGGGAAACTGGTAGCTTTATTATTAGCAATATACTATCTCAGGTCTCTACGCTGTTCTGCTGGAAACTATTATAATTTCTTGGTGAAATATTCGCTGACTTTATTCTTACTCTATCATCTGCCACTTAGGCCTCGCCAGTGTTTACCATTAGCACAGGTAGGTATATTATCCCATATTCATTCATAAAATATATACTTGACCTCATTACAATATTCATGTATAGGTAAGAAATGACCGCAATTCGAATTGATTTTATCATACTTTTCACCTAAGTACGCATATAGAGGTTACTAATTTCTAGTTTTTTGGGTTTATGTTACATGTCCTACATTTTTATTATTCTCTAAAGACTAATCCTGGCTTCACTCGGATACTGTACCCTAGAATTTGAGTTCAAACAGTATTGTATATATTGATATAATATAATAGGGTATATATTTTACTAATGTACAAAATTAAGATATCACTTTGAATTATGTACTTTACAAGTGAAAGAATTTTTGAATCGGTGAAGTACTTTTTGAGTTTTTATCTATTACAAATAATAAATAAATAAATAACCAACTCGCTGCTAATGAAACTTTATGCAGGTATAAATACTATTAAAATCGATTACGTATTTTTGATAAATCATATCTAGGACAGATATTATAATACTTGGATAACAGAATGTACTAACTTCCAAAATTAGTGCCTCCCTCTATGACTTTCAGTTTGATCTTGTGTAAAATTCCTTTCTTTGGTTTCTTTTGTCTTATGCAAGGTTGGGGGCAGTCAGGATCTGCATCCGGCGGGATATCTACAACAGCTCTCCTACATCTATCTTTGTCAGATTTCATTCCATACCATCGTGTAAATATGCTATGATTTATGTAATTATTTGTCTCGGTTGTCCACAAGTTTGACCATAAATATTTAGTTTTCTGCACAACGAGTATATCTAATCGAATCATTGTTTTTTTCTATTGCTTTTATTTCTAAATATACTTTCTTGGTAATTTTTGTTGCTGTCGTGAAATATAATTTGACTTTTGTGTTATTATTATTCTTTCATTATTCCAGATTTCAGAGTAATTATTATTTTCTGCCAGATTTTTGTATAACAAAACTTTATACTTAATACTGACTATATACCTACTTGATATTAAAAATAAAGATACATGACCTTTTTACTGAGTACTTTTGCTATATTCCTCGTGTTATAGCATATACGATACAGGTAACAGATATAGAAATATCTAAAAATTTCTGAATTTCGAAGGATTATATTTTATAAAACTATTAATTTGTGTGTGTGTGTTTGGTGATACTGTAAGGGATAGCTACCTATGTATTTTTCATTAGTTATTTTCATGTATTCTAAAAGACATGAAAAATAAATGTTGGTTTTTAAAGTGACATTATCTCTAAAATTTTAAATCAATACAGTTTCATATTAGAAAAAGATAATAAAGGATTCAGCTGTCATCTCCAATTTCTCGTAACGCGTGGTCGCTAGCCCTTACGATGTATTTTTTTAATGGATGATAATCGAATGATGCCGTTTGCGCTAATAATACAGCCAATTGTGGAAAGTTCACCAGGAATTAACCACGATGGTTTCCAGGGGAACCGCGCGAAGGTCAACCTGATACAGTATCTGTAGCATTGCCCATTGTTATTAAGTCATAATCCACTTTATTTCACTTTGTGAATAATCAACGAATAAATAAATCTCAGAGGAGTAAACTTAACGAACAACAGAGAGTAAAAGTCAATCTATCTCTAGAGTTAATTAATGTAGAATGGTTTGATGGTCGCTGGAATATTTATAGCGGTGAACAAAACATAGATCGAGTTGAGAGGGAAAGTGGCGGCCAATGTTCTGCCTTGACACTGTACGTATTTATAGGCTGGTACGAGTACATTCTCGGCTGATATTGCCCTATTTCCTGTTTAGTTTCCTTATAGGCATCGTCATATTTACATACTTTAAAGCTAATATCTAATACAAAACTATTATTGTATGAGTATTACAATGAACTGGGTTTTTTCTACACAATTAATTAATTCAATCTATAATTTTGAATACAATGAACAACGTATATATTACAAAATTAAATTACCCAAAATAAAACATGTTACCTTTCGTAAAACTCATATTTTAACGTAAACAAACTAAATTGCTTTTAAAATATGTAGAATATGTAATCTTATACCTTCAAAATTTCTTGCGTTAATAAAATAAATAACAGACGAATCGTATATTGTATGTTGCGTAGACATTTCTGCGCAGATGCAAACTGTAGATAAATTAGAGAACGTATTTCTTATTCTAACTGTTCTAATGCTATTGGCTGCGCTCTACAACTTCACCGGATGAAAATGGTGGCAAATGCAGATAGCATTCCAAACACGCGAAAGGACTTATAAAGCGGCAGTATAAGTAGTCCTGCTAAATGGATGCGACTTCAGTTTTGTTAGAGCATAGATAAGATCAGTTAGAGCATCTCGAAGGGGTTTCAACTCAATTGTTCAGTTTTAATTCCGTTTGAATGTGACCCCATGTCTCATTCAAATGATCACATTTCAAAAACATTATATTTTTTTATTGTATAGATAATAATTGTATTCTTTGAGAGTGGAAAGAAGTATATATCTGTCAAACGTCTAAAAAAATTCATAGCATATCTGCAAAAGATATATAGATTATACTACATTGTAATTAAACTAGTAATCGAAGGTTAGCGGTGATCCGTCAAGATGTCTGTGCCCGGAAATCGCGTGACGAGTGTACAGACCGCGCGGCCGCCCGGCCGCCCGGCCCGCTCGTGTACGGTGGGCGCGATCGCTGTTGTTGTGGGCGCCGCCTAACTACTATAAGTACTACAAATCTTACATCTTGTATTTGGTTTCAATGTGGAATTACTTTTTTATAATAATTCATTTATTTCTCCTCACAAATATAGATTACAACATATACATATAGTATTTTTGGATAACACAATGAAAAAATTTACTATTATGAGCAATTGCTGTGAGAAATGCTGTCTAAAATAGGTGTAATCTGTATCTATATATTTGTCTTTCTAAATATCATAGTGTTACAATAACAATAATATTTCCACAGGTGTAATTGTTGTTATATAATAATTACATTTAACGTAAGACAACTTTAATTGAAATACACATTTGTACCACCTAAGCTAATACATGTTACTAAAATTTTACCAGCGACTCCACCAGGCTTCGCAGGACGAGTAGAACATTATATTATACACCTAATCCAACGTAAAAAAATACTTTATTGATAGATAACGAGTCTATAAAAGTTTTTGAGATTATTGCGAATATAATAGAGTGCTTCTAATAGTGAAGGAAGTTATAAAAAAAAATATAAATTTGTTGTATCGGCATTAATTTTAAATTGGAATTATTATTTATCTATGTAAACAAAAAATAAAGTATAATATAATTATAATGTAGATATTTTTATTCTTTTGTTATAATATTTATTTGATTATGATATGATAGATTTGACGCCACACAAAAACCGTCTACGAGAATATTAAAATTCCTATGCATATATGAGATAATAGACTGTATTTATTGTTCCGGTTTAATATCTTGATACCGTCAAAGAAATCGGTTTCTTCATCCGACTATTATTGATATTTGGTTTATTATTGTATTTTTTATGTTAATATTTCAATGAAATCACTGAGTCATAGGTAGACCATGCCATGATAAGAATCGCGTGAACCCACGTAATTGTGGCGCACCCTGTCGTTTTTACGCAGAAGCTATGGATGGTTTATATAATTCTAACAATGAACTTCGAATTTTAACAGTATTTCCGATTCCGTCAAAAGTAGAATTTCTTTATTTTATGATCTAAATTGGTTTTATGATTGGTTTTGTCGAAACCATTAGCAATATAAATACAGATTCATGGTTGTGACTATTTTGATTGTTTGAATTTGAGTTATGATAATATGATGCTAGTCTGTATATAAAGTAATATTATAATATATTATTAATGGAATACCTATTTATATAAACGATTACTAAATACAGACTTTCAATTGTTCATTTAGGAATTATTTGTTAAAATGCGCTCAGTGGCGTAGAACTGTAGAGTATCTTACTTATATTTTAAACGCTAAAGTTTAAGTAAGTAGATTGATGTATGCATGTTACTCTTTCACACAGGAACTACTAAACAGTATTTTAATATAATCTACTTTAAAAAAATAGCAGTCTATACTCCTTCTCTATATAAACTAAGGTTTGCGCAATTTATACTCCATACTCCTCCGATCGCGCTATTTTCCTTAAAAGGGGTGTCAAAGTTTTTGTTTCACGTATTTAGTTGGATATCAACCAAATCAACCAAATCTATTTTTCACATTAATAACTCTTTGACATCGGGGTCGAACTGTATTTTCAGATTATCCCAGAACTCATTCGAATATACAACACATAATTTTATCCAAATCAGTCTAGTCGTAGGTAACCGAGATATCTTTAAGGAAATGAAAACAATATCCGTCATACTTGTGAACGAGTGCTGCTCTTATCACTACGACTGATTTAATCTTATTGTGTTTTTATATTTGAGCCTAATTAGTTAGTGCTGCTTGGTAATTTGTATTCCCACGTTTCGACTTGTAAAATGTGAATTTACAAGTATTATTAAAAAGAGCAACACATAAGTTTTTTGCTCGTTCTTATTGTGATGAGACAGCTTTCAGAATGAGCAATACATTAAAAAAAAATGTTATGACTATTCAAAAGTGCTTAAATTGTTTATTTGAATAAATGATTTTGTCTTCTATTCTATATTATTAATGTTTATGTGACCTTTTTTTGCTAAATCTCTAGACTACCAAGGTATAAATACATAAATAAATATTCCAACACACAAAATATTGGTATAAGTTAAACTACACGTATCACCAAAGATTCAAAGATATCCGGGTCTTTACCGTAACGGATATAAATTATTCCGATCTCCTTAGCAGTCAGGTAATAAAGTACGCTTTTGTAAATAAATAGAGTGAATCGTGCAAAATATACTCACTCGTATACATCAATATGGGCCTTTTCCTAATCGCTGTGAGCTACGTGAAAAATGTTTTCCGACAAGATTGATGATTTTCCTACTCGTACTAATACACTCGACTGACCTTCCCACAGCCGACCGATGTTGAAACTCATACATTTTGTTAATGTTGTATAAAATAAATTAAAATATTTTTAGGCTATTTATGGAGTCACATACTCAACATTTTTCAATAACTTAATCTACATCCTTTTGTATTTGTAATATTAATGTGAAAGTGATGTTTTTTATTATCGTTTGACAATTTTAGACCTCAAACTATGATCAACTGTCTTAAAGGACGGGCTAGATTTCATACCTGCGAAAACGCCGGTATAAAATATAGTTTTGAAAGAAATATAGAATAATCCGATTATCGTATTCAGAAATATTGAGTGTAATACAATGTGTAACGAAAGATATCAGTGATGGATTATAAAAACCTTCACTATTTTTTACATAGTAAAAAATAGCATTTTTATTAACACATGGGGTTATTTTAATACTGTAACTGAAATTTAATTATAGCACAGGTCACAATCACGTTGTATAATTTATTTTTATGTAAATATAAATGTAAATGACCCTTGAAAATATAGTAATACTAGTTGTGCCCGCGGTTTCGTCCGCGTGTCATAGTGACCTTGAACAAATAAAGAAAGATTATTCAATAATCTAACCAAAAGAATAAAGTTTCATCGTTGTAACTTCGAAAATGACGAATTACCATACAAACTTACATCTCCCCTTTCAGTCTTTTTTCATTTTTCCTTTTAATCTATGTCCTTTCTTAGTGTCTAGACTACATTTAAATTGGTTCAGTAGTTTTGGCGTGAAAGTGAGCTAGACAGACAGTTACTTTCGCATTAATAATAATAATAATAATCTCAGGACAATTCACACAGCGCCATCTAGTCCCAAGTTAAGCTATCTAAAGCTTGTGTTATGGGTACTAGATAACTGATACAACTACATAGATATTTTTTTTTTCCTAAATACATACATAGAAAACACCCAGACCGATACAAACAATCATACTCATGAATACAAATGTTTGTGCCGTGCGAGGAATCGAACCCGCGACCATCGGACGTAAAGTGGTGTGCTAGACCGCTAGACCACCGAGGTCGTCAATAGTATTAGTAAGAATTGCATTTAGGGAGAAAATATGTGTAGTCTATGGTTTCAGTAAGTAACAATACGCGTATATCACTAATTTTAAACGGCTGTTATATTTATTAGTTATTCTATTTCTATAAGGTTATCACGAAGAGAACTTAAATCAATAAATAAAACGTTTCAAATGTAAATATTTTCCTATGTTGCGTGATTGTTTATAAGTATTTCGTCATTTGATAATTTTCAGGTTTTCTATTTGTATTTGATTAAGGGCTTAACCAAGTACGCCGTTGTGAGAGCCTTTGAAATAAATAAACACATTAATAATTAGTTTATTTTAAATAGGATCTAAATATTAATGGTATACATATTATACTTATTTTAATGCAGATATTCATAAAAAAATTATACGAGTATATCTGTTTACGCCACCGTGGGATTATATATTTCAAATTGTTTTATAATTATTTCATATAACATCTATTGGTTATTAGTATTGGAAAATTGACCTGTTATATCACAGTAGAAATGTATAGTTTGTGTCACATGACAAAAACAAAAAAAAAACATGTATTACACGTACTGCTGATATACGCTGTCAAATTTATACCGTTTAATTGTTATATCTATCTAGACATATATACCATTATACATATATTATAGTAACTGTAATATATGTATAATGGTATATAATATATGTATGATTTATATCACGCATAAATACTTACGATTTTAGTGTTGAGGTGCATAAGCTCCCGCTCGGTGACTCGCCGCCGCGCGGTCTCCATTTGCTGCTGCCGGTACTGGTTGTATTTAAACAGCAAATACATTCCGGGCAGGGCCAACACCACGAACGGTCGCATCAAGCTCGACGATGATGGCGCGCGTTGAGGCATCTTCTTATTAACATTATTCGCTTAAAACCGCTAAGCACTTTTCTTGCTGATATTACTCAGAGCTTGATGATAATCGGTATTGAAGTCCGTTTGATACTCCATTCCACAGGCATTAGAGATCATTTTGGATCGTTTTTTTTAATTCGAACCAAACAATACGCGGTTTTTATTGAAACACTAAGTAATGGAAGATTTTTGTAATAAAGTATCATAAAATTCTACTCTCAGCACTTTTTATAGCGTCTATAGATAAACTACGGGGTTTACTACGTTTAGTAATTGGTTTATTGCTTTAGTAATAGACCTATTATTTACACTGCGCTATTATCAGGATTTCTTCATCAGACCTGAAACAAAAATAACATGTTATTTCGTTGTAGTTATATAAAACAGAAAATAAATGTGTACAAATTTCCATCAGAGATAAAATTAATCAATAAGGAAATGACTTATTTACTTCATAAAAAATACACACAATTCATTTATTAATAATATCAGTAATGTTATCTTGCCGTAAGTACCGATATAATTTTTTATTACATGCTTCATAATTTCAATCAGTTCATTATTTCGCATTGTTATTGATATAATTAAAGTGATACAGAAATCAAATACCCATCTACACCCTACGATTCTCAGAAAACGAAAGTGATTTTCAATTACGTGACAATTTGCCTCGCGTTGGCGTACGATCAATTATTGCACAAAATTAGTTTCTGACAAAGTCGATATTACTGTTAAAGGCAATTTGTGCCCCAAAATAGATCTAATAAGTGTATTGGAATGAGATGATTGATAACTTCCTCTCTGAGGACCGGTGGCCGTAATAGGTTATTTTCCGCTTTCCTACTATTGATAGGCGTAAATGTTAATGGCTTCGTTTAATCGTTATAGGTTATGTATTGTTGACGTTGTGTTCATTTCGCAGAAACTAGTGTTTCTGGTATATTGTAGATTACTACTTCATACAGTTACGGTATATGGAATGGTGTTTCAGGCGTCCATAGGTTACTGTGACCGTTTACCTTGGGCCCTATGCTGGTTTCAACTACGTAGTATAAAAAAATATAATTTAAGAGAAATAAAATGGAATCAATTTTTTACACTACATTATATTCTACCATACCAAATCATCAGTCAGCATTTAAATTTAGGAGAAGTTATTCTTTGCATATAGAGCGGTATAGAAATAATAATATTAATAAAAAAAGCCGTTTGAAGAACCACAGAATAACAATAATAAATATCTAATAACAAAAATATAACAGTTTTACTTTTGTTATTAAATATACGTATTTTACATGTATACATCTTAGGAACTGATCCATAAGAGATGTATGACATATTTTTTAACAGTTCGTCAAATATAAAATATCTGACAGTGGACTTTAGAAACCCATGTTACCTAAACGAATAACAAACTTTATCTTTTAACAATGTAAATATTAAAGTCTTTAGTGTACAATATTTTTAATAACATAAAGGGCAAACAGGATTACGGCACACCTGATGGTAAGTTATTACCGCCGCTCATAAGCGTCCGTAACACTAGGAAAATAGCAGGAAGATTCTGGAAAAACCCACGGTGGAGGACCGCCATTCATTTACGTGATCAGGACGGTATTTTAAAAAGTAAAAATATACTAACATGTGGATAGGGTATGTAGTATACTAAATACTTAATTATTATTTATAAATAAACATTACGTAAATTGTAAAGGACGACAAGAGTCCTTATGTAGTATTGAATATAAGTTGAGTATCAATAGAGGTATGGATCCCGGTATCAAATATCGGTATAAGGCGGTGTCAGGGTACAACTTGACATATTGTTGCGATACCATCGGCCCACGATCGTGCTGCAATTTGATTGGCATGCCATCTTAGGGGTCTAACACATCTCTATAGATATACTTCATTTCTTCAAAATTTTGTTAACATTTATGTGATTGTAGAGAGATACTTGATGGTCTACCATTCAATCTTCGGGAAGTGTCTCTGTACTGAATGTCTATAGCATTAAGTCTGCCTCATATACCATATTTTATTGGTCAATGAAGCTTAAATATATAAATAAATAAATTATGTAACACAAATAAATAAACATTTTTAAGCCTATCGACCTACGCCTGAAATACCAGGAGTGTATATGGATCCTGAAAAAACGTTCTGAATTTTTTTTGGAACATAGTACTACGTATAATTTCTTTTGTAGAACCTCTAGAGTTCCATGTCTGAAAAGTTATTTTATTTTCTTCTTTACAATTTTTTTAATACTATCCTGTTTGCCGATAGCTACGTACTATACCTATTTCTACCTCCTACTTACCACATGGCTATATACGGTATGTCAAATTTGAAGCACTACTTTCTATATTTATTAATTATATAATATATTAATTTAAATAATTCCTTTTAAATTAATGTTTTTAATTAAGAGAAGGTATTTTTAAAATTAATATATACTGTTTTAAGCAGACACTTCAAAGGTTATATTTTATTATATTATATATTTTTAATATTCTTATATATTTATTATTAATACATTTTCTCGATAGAAACTTCCAGGCTTTTAATTTTTTTTATTTTCCTGTTAATATATTGTTTACAATATTCATACTACCTAATAATTAACTTTATAAAACATACAATACATTGTATGTTAGTATTTTAATGGATATCGGTTCGATAGTTTAGTTGTTAAAGTGTAATAAAAGATATGAAGTCTTAACGAGCCTAATAATAAAGTTATTAAGTAACAAATGATAAAGATAAAATCTTAATGATAGTAGACAGATATAAATATCGTAATCTATTTAAATGTAGAGCAATTTGCCTTTAAATGTAAAATTTGTGTTCATAAAATCAATTGTTATTCGTTGAAATTGTGTAAGTACCTACCTACTTAGACAATTTCGACAAATAGGACACTGTTTCCGTGTAAAAAGTGTTAAATAGTAATTAAATAATTAAAATATGGAGGTTGAAGTGGGGTCTATACTTGATGAGTACGAAAATTTATTATCAGTTAAATATATTATAGATCTACATAGGTAATTTTGTAAGAAATATTAAAAAGAATTATCCAATTTTCAATATTTTTTATACGGTTTCCTAAACTGGTTGGATTTAATGGTTTTTAACGACAACGATATACGTATAAAAGAATGTCACGTAAAATAAAATTTTAATTTTATAACAATTTGCTTTGCTTGCATTTGAGTTTGCTACAGAGATATACTTATATTTTTCAATCTTAACAATAGTAATCCAAGTTTAATTCACACAGCGTCATCTAGTCCCTAGCCAAGCAGAGCTATGGGTACTAGACTGATAACTAACTGATATAAATATAAATACATTTTTTAAAATCCAATACAACTTACGACCATTGCAAGCAAGACGGTGTGCGCAACCGCTAGACCACAGAGGTCGGCGAATAATATAATTATTAAATAGGCATAATTTTATATATTAATTACAGGGTACCGACGTTTGCTTCGGGATTGACTATACATCATCATCTCAGGGCCGTCACATGACGATCTATGTCTCCGACGCGACGTTACCTTTTATAAAGTGAGTTGTCAATTATGTATTTAGAGGAAAATTATTTTTTTAAAGATTTCTGTTGAAGGGTGAAAAAAGATAGACAAATTACAGGATAAGGGGCATGACGGCTGACTAATGGCAATACATGAGTGGATCGCGGTCGTCACATGATGTTATGTTCATAGTGATTTTCATGTATATAGGCAACTGTTTCCACTTACTATCAGGTAGGTCGCTAGTTTGTTTGCCATTACACAGAAAAAAATTGTTTTAATCTAATAAACATTATATACTGAAAGCGCTAGTTTAAATTTTTTACTTAGTTACTACCCGTTAATAACTCTAAACTCAAATTTGCCGCAAGCTCGAAGTATTCTATTTTAGAATTTCAAAGTCAGTTTCCTCGAAAGTTTGTTAGTTGGAGCCTTAAACGAGTTTAGCTCTGAAGCCACGACGCCGCGTAGTAAAATGGCTTTCGGCTGATTGGTTCGTTGGATAACAAAATGGAATATACCAGACCAGTATTAGCTATATACGCCACTAGTTACGTTCTATATGAAAACTAAATTAGCTATAGTATAATATAGACTCATATATTCTATCAAAATATTTTATTTTTATTTTAACACAAGCTTACTAGATTGAAGTGGCATATCTATTTAATTGCTTAATATGCAATTGGTAAATAAATAATAAATATAAAGGCATCAATATTATCGTCTAAAATGAACATTACAATATGCGTCTCAAATTAATCTATTTTTTTACAAAAACTAATTCTGAAACTCTATATTGTGAAATAGTTTTCGGTAAAATTAATGAAGTAAGAAATAAATACATATATGAAAATACCCAACAGCAATATGCCACTATTTTTTCAGTAGATGCGATAAAAATATATTTGTGGTATATCACACACTTTCATTAGTCCAATATTATCTACATATACATAATTCATTAATTTTAAATATAATAAAAAAAAAACTGTCAACCTTCAAAAGAAAAATTCAAGTTTAAACCTAAGATTATGGACTAGCGACCGTGTAAAATCCACTGACCGTGGCAATGGTTCAAGTAGAAATTCACCAGCGCAGTTTATTATGTCCATTCACGTGACATGACGCTAAAATAGGTATGGAAAGTAATTCTGCGGACCAAAAGTCCTTGATGGGTGGGGCCTTCGTGAATAGTTGTAATATGTAAATATACTAACAGCGCAGTATGTAATTTGTTACCGCTAAAACGAAACAATTTGCTAGTTTAGAAAATTTGTGCAAGTACTATTTATAGACATAACTAATATTATAAAAGTAAAAGTGAGGTTCGTTTCCATCTCTGTTAAGAATTCACGCCTTAAGCGATTGATCAAATTTCATGCAATTGGGCCATTGTTTTGATTTTGTGATGAAAAAGAAAAAGGATATAGGCTAATAAAAAACTAAAAAAACATAGCTTATGTACTGCAACATACCATGCATTCGTGATTTAAGAAAAAAATTCGCTTATCTAACTAGAA